TAACTTTTGCTTTCAAGCGAAATAAAAACCACACGAATACTGTTGTTGTTATTTTTGGTGTTGTTGTCGTTGTTGTTGCCGGACAGCGTGAATTTAAATAAATTCTATTATAGTTTAGTTTATATTATATTATTGTTGCTTTTGCTGCTGTTGTGGCTATTGTTGTTCTAGTTGATATTGTATTAGCTAGCTGTTGCTTCTATTTAGCCTCTTTAGTTACACTTTGTGCTACGTCCGTTTGGCTTGAAGGCAGCTCATCAACTGTTTTGCAAGCACACGACGGTAAAGCCCCACGCCAAAGTTCTAAGCACAAGGCACATGCGAAAGCTCTCCGTCGAGCATAAAGAGTGCGCGAAACAAGCTGCTGCTGGCTTGTTTGCTGTTGTTGTTGCTATGTGTGCTTATGCTTCTTCTTGATTTTCTCAGTGGCTGTTCTTGTTGTTATGCGTAGACGCTTTGGTGCTTTTAGGCGAACTAAAAGCCATGCTGTAATCCATATATAGGCAAAGAGACTCAGCGAATGAGAGATAGAGAGAGAGAGAGAGTGAGAGAGAGAGAGAGAGAAATAGCGCGCCAAAAGTGGACTACATGCATGGTATAATCAGTGCAATCAACGTTCGGGACTTCCCCATTGAGTATAAAGCACTTAGAGATGCATTTTCTCTCACGAGCTCTCATCTCCTCTGGTAATCCTATCACAACAGATGGTGCATAGGCTTACAGCTCCATATGGCAAAGGTAATAAACTATTGAATAGTTTATGATTCACTATCACGCTATTGTTAAGCCTCAATCAATGCGCCTTATTGTACTTGCCTTATCAGTACTGATAAATGTTAATGAGTATTTTTTTCTTGTATATGCATACGTCAAGTGATCCAAAAAATGATTTCGCAAACTGTGATTTCGCTTGTTTGCTGACACGCATTGTAATTTTCTGAAAAAAAATCATAAAAAAGTACATTTGTACATGTATAAATCATATCGATAAGGCGAAGTTTGCTAATGTGGGCGTCAGTTATTCCGGGCGTGAATGAATCATGGCTTTTACAGGGAATACCAGTCGCGGGTACTTGAAATGCTTTAGGGCAAAGTTCGTATTTATAAGGCATAATTATATGATTTTATAGGTCTACCTTGCCATGACATGCCTGAAATTCAACTTTATATCTTATCTAAGGCTTTTCTGTTGAACAAAAATCATATTTATTTTGCCGTTGCAAAGATATTCAATATATGTTGTCTAACCTGAAAAGTAGTTTATTATTTGGTAAAAATGAAGTCATGAATATTATGACTGTGCTTTTTATGCTTGCTATGGAGCTGCACGCGCCGCAAGCTTTTTGCGCAATGTAAACAAAAAGAGTGTGCACACACACACACACGAATAAGGATTTAACAGCTGACTGAGAGACTAGGGCATGAGCTCCTGTTGCTGTTGTTGCCACACGCGAACTTTTACCACGCTTAAAGCTTCCGCTATAGCTTTCGCTGTGTTGCGCTTTTGAACGTATTCATTTTCAAAATGGGGTCAGCCAATTGCTCGGACCAAGCAATTAGAGGTAGTTATGGCCAGTTGCCGTTAGTAAACGTTACTTAGTGGGCTGCACGCAACTGAGGAACACGCTTAATCGCAAAGTCTCTCCATATATTGTTTTCGCACGCAATGCGCGCGCTCTGCCTCAAATCAAAGTTGATTAAACTTAATAAAAGTAATTTTATTTCGTCAGCCCCTTCTGCCACCCCTAGCTGCCGCTCACATTATTCTTATACATTTAAACGATAACTGTCTGACCTTGAGCAAAACTCACCGCAAAAATAAAAAACCGCCGGCTGCTTTCAACATAAACTCTCGTGACTTATGCTGTCATATGTTTTGCAGCTGTCGCTCTCGGAGCTTTTACAAGAGCGGAGCAAAACTTGATCAAGCGCTGTCACATTCATTGGTGCGCTCTCACGCTCTCCCGCTCACTTGCCTGCTCTCTCTTAACGATCTCGTGCTCAGCACTTTTGGCACGTTTTTTTATTTTGTATTATTATTGCGTTTAATTCATTTAAATCAATTGAAAATTTGCTTCTATTTCTGGCTTTAGTTTGCACATTGTTGAGTTCTAAATTATTTTGATTAATTAAATTAAGCTCTTCATTTGCTTCGCTGTGCTTGTTATAAATTGCGTTTGAGTTTTATTTTATTGCCTTTTTTCTTAACTGATCTATGCCATATGTTTATGCATCACAGATCCAAATTCCCATTTCTTTGAATTTCTTTATCCCGACCAAATGGCTTTTATGGTTTTGTGTACAGAATTGAATGAAAACTTTTTGTTCAATTATATGAACTTTGCACTTTGTCCGCCAAATAAACGATTTTTTTTCACATACTCTTAACTAGAATGGAAATATTATTTTTAGTTGATTTGATTCAGTTGAAATTCAAATTCAAAATAAATTAAAAGCAAAATTTTATTCATTTATGCATAGAAATGATTGAGTTAAACCTTATTGAATTCAATAGTTCGCTTTCTAAATAATCTGATATAAATGGAGACAAATTCATTCCCATGAAATTAGCTTTTCAGCAGAGCTTGGTAGATATTCGTAGCTATAAACCTTACAGGATATCCTTCAACTTATTATAAACCAACTGAGCAATAACCATTTTTATGAATGAGTCGTCTTGATGTATTTGTAGGGCGATTCGAAGACTAAACAAATTCATTTTTAAATATCAAGACAATCATTTAATAAAAAACGTTTAGTAAAAGAAAATTTCATTATAAAATAAACTTATCACAAGATCCCATAAAGTACTTCCTTAGAAAATACTCATAAATACGCATATATGCGTACTATGTCAAACAGTTTCTAATTAAATTTTATGCACCCCGTACACACGTGCCGAACACCAGATGATAAGAAGACCAAGTAAATGCCAGCTGTCAGACATCAAACAGCGTGACAGTTGCCCAGTTGAAGGGGGAGGGACGAAACCACAACACTTTACTCATGAATTTTTCAAAATCAAATCAAAAGTACACCCGCCACGACCCCTTTTGGATAGCAAAGGCTAACCCCAGCAATCATAATTTGCAGAGAGTTCAACAATCTCGCGTGACTTTTGCCCAGCCATTCCGTGTCTCGAATATGGCACATGGGCAACATGCGTCGTCCTCGTGCCTCCGGCAGCGGCGCCACAGTGAAATGGTGCATGCATTGGTGATGTTTTGGCTGCACGTTTGTGTTAGTTTTACCCATCTTCCGCTTCGCCCACACACGTGAAATATGTAAGAAGAAAGAAAAGATGAATATTATTTTCTAGAATTTTAAAAATTAAAGAAGGTTTTACATTGTTCAGGCAAATGGCGCATATGCTTAACTTGACTTAATATGGGGTCAGATTGCTTTGCTTTAACTAAACTAACGCTTTTTATCGGCTCGCTGACTAAACTATTTAGTTGTGCAAATGTTAAGATTAAAATATATTTTAGAAGTCTTTTTTCCATTTAGATGCAAGTTTAATCTAAAGTTTTGGCAGAATTCGCAGTTCACATTCATGGAGTAGAAACCATTACACTACTCAACTGAACTATAGGATAAATTTAAATTTATAAAATATATTTCGTTACCCAACAATTTTACAGCAATTAGCTCTTATGAGTAAAATAAACATACAAATGCTGCGACTTACAGTTAAATAACTCGTACTATAAATCCAGAAAAGATGCTGCATACTTTCAGGCGGAAGCCTTTAAACAAAACCTGTAATTCAATCAGCGCCTAAGAGATGCTCCGCTGTGGCAACATTTAAATAAATTTCAAGCAATTTACGAAGCAACTGTAAATAATAATTAACATATTACAAGCAAAAATATGACTAAAATTCTGTAACTCACACGACCTAAGTGGAATTTTCGGTGTAGGTCACGCAGCTTAGTGAATGTGAAGCACGTGTAAGTTGTTAATTACAATCAATGTCAGGCGCGTTGGGGCAATGGAACCAAAAGTGCCCTGAGTTTTGTATTTTAGCCTGACAAAGCGACTCTGCAAGTTGCCACATAGAACGTACAGCACAAATAAATTACAAAAGGTTGATGTTTCGGTTAAAGCGCTCAGAGTCCAAAATACGAGCCAATAATTAAACATTTTATAGGGTTTAATCAGTTTATTAGAAGCTTTGTAACTGATTGACAAGAAGAGTTCCCTCTAATTTATTTAAGAACTGATTGCTGGCTTAAGTTGCAGGGCTTAATTTAATTTTATAATTTTATTTAAATTATTTATTTTAGATCACTGTAATTTTTTTAAATTAATAAAATTGTATCAAAATATCTTTTATAAACAACAACTAGTTGAAGTTAATCATAATGTAATTTTTTTTTTATATAAGATATTTAGTTGTGAGTCGCCAGTTGTTAACTAGCTAAAAATGTAACTTAAATTTATTTTTATTTATATTTTTTTCCAAATAGCCTTTTTGATTTTTTTTTAATGAAATTTTTTCAAAATGAAATTTCTTAGCAGCCATATATATTTACACATTTTCTTAGAGCACAGAAGCGTCGTAGAGCACGTGGAATTTTTTTGCCCAAGCTCAGTTGAGGTGAGCGTATATGTGAAACAGGTAAAATGAGCTTTGGCTGTCAAGAAGCTTGAATGTACGTGTTGGTGTGTGTACGTTTGTGTGGAAGTGTCTGAGAATTTTAGGAATTTTTAATACCATAACGCGTAGCATACTTTACGGTTGGTTTTTCCAATTGGTTGGCTTAGCGGCACTTTAGTGTTACGTAGGGTTTGTTCAAACTCTGGAAAGCCAATGAAAACCATGAGCTACAGAATGTGTGTAAATCTATGTTTTATTTCTAGATGCTTTAATCTAATATAAAAATTTGACGAAACAGATAAATAATATAATTTATATACATAAATATTCATATAGATTTTTTCCTTGTTGAATGTGAATTTAAAAGTACGAAAATATATGTGAATTTAAAGCTTAAATATTGATTTTTATTCTTTTATATTTAATCGACTTATGTTTACACTATGTTCACATTTAATATTAATTCAATCAAAATATAAATAGCCAAAGGATTTTCTAAAAAATATGCTCAATATTTACACACTCACGTTTGTGTTTGTATGTGTATGTGCATGTGTTTTTATTTATTTTTAATAGCCTAGCTATAAAACACGAAAAAAACCTCTATTTACACATGTACATTTGATGCCAGCGCAGATTTGCCTTGTGGCTGTGCATTTGGGGCCAAACTGAGGGCCATAGCTTAAAGCTATATAGGTGAATAACAGTGCTACAGGGGGTGCAGAGGATGCAGGGGATGGCTGCAGCCATATGTCTAGTACAATAGTTGCTTGTCGGCGTACATGCTGTCCCAGAGCCGCAGCTTGTCGGCCTCGGGCAAATCAATCACTTGCACATCATGTGAAATATTCAAACACTTGAATACCGCATCCTGCCGGGATATAGGAAGCCAGACCTGTGACTGTGACTGCGGCTGCGACAGTGCCTGCACTTGCACCGTCTCCCCATGGGGTTCCTCGTGCGTGACGAGGGGTATGCTGGGATCGCCGGTGGCGGCGAACTGCACCAGCATGGACACCAGACGCCTAATCGTCTTAAACTCGGCCGTGCGGCGCTTCAGCTTTTTGGCTGCCGCATTGTAAAACAAATAGGATAAATCATCCGCGTGGCACGTGCCGCGCACCTTGCGGCCACAAGTAATAATTCGCATTATGTTGAAATGCTTCGAGTCGAAATCGAACCGATACAGATATGTAGGCGCCCTGGGCGCGTGCAGGCTCCTCGACAGCAGCGTCCGATGTATCCCATGCCAGAAATATTTATACGAGCAGAGCTGAAACGATGAAAGTATTTGATTAAACAAAGAATGTGCAAGCCAAATTAAACTGTGCGTTTTTCTATATTTATATTTATCGATCTATGCGCGTATGAACTAGTAAATATTAAGCTATAATATAACTATTTTTATATCATAGCCAGGATATATCACTATAAGTCAGGGTGTATATATATATATTTATAATAAAATAAAATAAAATAAAAATAATAAGATAATAATACAATAATTTATATATATATATATATATATATATATATATATATCTCCATCTGAGTGTGGGTGTATGGATTATATGTATTTAGCTAAATGAATAAACATATTTTCGATATATCCATACACCGTTTATTGCTTTAGTAGTTTAAGCAACTATCTTTTTTCTATTATTCTATTACTATTTCTGTTTTCTTATTATTTAAATAAATAACAATATAAAATAAAATAATACTCAAAATGTTGATAAAAACTATATATATCACATTCATGACATTCTTTCTATTCATTAAGTAAGCATCTATTTATTCACCTTTCCCCATACTTTTTACCCATATAGGTAATACGATTTGCCAACTTATCTAATTATTTACCTTTTACTAGATAACTGACGTACTAACATTTACTTATATTTACTTTACTTTCTATGTCAAACATAAATTGTCTTATTATTACTTTAACATTTACAGACAATTTACATATCCGGAATAAACAATATTATCTTTCGGTCGATCATCTTTCCTAAAATATAATACATTTTTGTCCAAAGGGAAATATAATGATTTATATTTTTATCTAAATAGATATTAAAAAGATGTATACCTATTAAATTTGAAATAAAAAATAAAATGATCTATCCGTATATACATCTTTCCAAATTTGTAATTTTGAAATATTCTTATCTGAATAAATATATATATATTTAACTATTTAATATGATTTTTTTTAAGTCATATATATTTAATTATATTTATTTATCCGCATATTTTTTTAACATATTCATATATAACAAAATTTTAAACATTTGATTTTCTCTTCATATTTCCGTATATCCCATAAATTGTATATATTATTGATATAATATAATCCTTAAATACTTACATCACTGTATTCGAGTATTGTCTTCTGACTGGGCTGTTTGTCTCCAAAATACGTGGACTTAAGCTGCTTGCCAAAGGCGCGTCTCTGATCAGCATCTAGGCCGGCATCCTCGGGTGACAGATACTCACAGTCGCCGAGCTCGCACAGCAGCTCCGGCCATTTGCGCACCTCGGGAAAGACGAGGAGCCCCTCAAAGGAGTTGCCACCCACCACGAGTGGTATATCGTTGCCCCAGCAGTTGCGCATCATCTCTAGCGGCGGTTTGGGTATCACACAATGCTCCGACTCATATGGCTCTACTGTGGGCGCAAAGGAGAACATCACCTTACGCTGATGCCGCTCTTCCATGGTGATAATATCCTCGGCCATGCGCAGCATGCTGCTCGCCTTGCAATGTCGCAAATGGTTGAGTATCTCCCGGTCATTCGGCTCACCCGTAAAGCCTGTAGCCTGAGCCAGGCGACATGCCCAGTTATGTTTGGGAGTTATAGACCAGGGCGACAACGCTGAGCCTGACATAAGCACAGCCTTGTGAAAGAGATTCCGCGTCTGCTCTGTCAGCATCATGTAATGCGTGGATGCGCCGCCAGCGCTCTCGCCAAAGACGGTTATATTATCCGGATCTCCGCCAAAGAAGTGACAATTGCGCTTGACCCAGCGCAAAGCCATCACCTGATCCTTGAGGCCCGCATTGCCGGGCACATCCAGCTGCTCGTCGTCGAGGGTAAGAAAGCCCAGCACGCCCAGGCGATAGGCAATGGTCACTAGTACCACATGCTCCATCATAAAGTAATCGGGACTGTAGAGATCACGCGAGGCTTCGCCCATTTGAAAGCCGCCGCCATAGATCCAAACGAGCACGGGCAGCGGCTTTTGTGGATGCAGCTGCGTTCGAGTAAAAGATATAAATAGGGTCCAGCTTAAATTATGTATATCCATACAGAACTCACCTCTCTGGTATATACATTCAGGTACAGGCAATCCTCGCTGCCTTGCACTTGCTTCAGCACCAGATTCACCTGGCAGGGCTTTGTGCGCTCTCGTGTGCAACGCTTCACCTCCGTCCAGCGATCCGGCTCTACAGGCGCCTTGAAGCGCAACTCCCCCACAGGCGGCTTAGCAAAGGGTATACCCTCGAAGCTGTAGTAGTTGTTGCCATAGATCGAACGCCACTTCACCCCCTTAACCTTGCCGTAAATCGTATCCGCAATAACCTTATCATTGCTCCGCAAACGCTGCTGCTTTGTCTTGAACTTGACATAGCTATTAGGATGAAAAAAACAACAAAGGTGAGAGCTGTTAATGCTATTCCAGTCAGCAGACAGGTGAGTGCACTTCGAGCCAATCAAATTGGCCGAGTGTTTGGATAAACATTCTAGGCGCTTTGTTTATCAGACACTTTGGGCGGGCTTTTAACTACCTTCTGCCCTCCTGTTAAACAAACAACATAAAAATGGCACAAGTTCGAATTATAATTTGTTGGGACTTACTGAACCAGAGGGCACTACCAAACAAATGGAAAGGAACTTAATAGATATTATTAATATAAGGCACAACTACAGCGATAGGTTCCTAGAATCTAGGCGAAATAAAATTACAAGATAGTATCTATAAATTAATTGCTTTTCTGGCATCACCAAAATACAAAAATATACAGGATTTATTCAGACAAAAACAACACTTACATATAAAACTACAAACATATTGCAATTAATTAAATTTCCCTTTATGCACAGAAATTCTTAGAAAATTTCATTAATAGCCAAATAAAATTCTATTGGAAATAGAATAAAATTACAATATAAATTAAAAAATATAAAAGAAATATATTTTTAGATTATAGCCGAATAAATTCCTTTTATGTATCCATTTTTAATAAAACCGAAATATATACAGAAAATCAAAGCTCTGATAAATTTTATTTAAACACTCAGTTGTTTTTAAGGGCCTTAATATTAAATTAAGGTACTTTGTATAAATATCTTCATATCTCTGCATCTTTTCCCTTATCATAGAATCTAACTTTGCTAATTGAGTAAGAGATGCAGCTCAACTAAGAATCCGCGACTCAGCTTAAAATAACTTTATTTTAATTATTCTTTAAAGCTTATATTAAAAAAGTAAATCAAAATATTGGACACTATATTTTATCAAGACGCTTCACAATCGCTAAGAACTCAAGTAATTCAGGAAGTTTTCTTATCAGCATGAAAAATACAAAAGAGTTATCAATTTAACTTCAAAAAAACCGATGATCTATAAAACAATCAAGACCCACTCTAGTCTTTTAATAGAGCAGGGTATTACGTGTATAAATATTGGATAGAGGCAGCGCGACGCGGCGCTGGCCAATTTAACATTTCAAGAGCGTTTCCATTAGAAACGTGCGAGCTAAACGATGCGTGAGTCGATCCACAGCAGACCAAGGCGCCTCAATATAGATTTCATATATAGAAATATATAAGATTTGTACACGATCCCAGACAATTTATACGACTACAAATCATTCAAAAGACTATGCGTAGTTCGAGCTGCAATTAATTAGCAGCTGGCGAAGTTCTTCTTCTTGCTTGGCAGTGTACAACCTTGAAGGTATTTTCATAATTCTAGTTAAAATCTCGCATGAGTACTTGGTGTGAATTATAATACTTTTATATATCGTGTGCTAATTACATGCAGTAATTCCACAATTCCGCCAGGTTCAAGGTCAGATTCGCCTACATTTAAAAACCTAGCTACTTGAATATTGACATGGAACTGGTTTATCCACTGAGCAGTTAACTAAACTGTATTCATATGCTTAAATGTATATTCATGTATAGTTTTTATTATTGCTCGTGTTTGAAGTCGTCTGGCAATAATCAAAACATTAGGTCGCATATAAGACGCAATATCCCAAAACCGGGCCGCATCAGTTTCTGGGTCTATCATAGACAAGTGGAAGTGATTTGTATGCCTTATGGAACCACGAAGAAACGCTAACAAATCTCTGACATTGACTTTGCATACAAAACTAACCACATAAATAATTTACAATATGTTAATTAGATATGCACATAACTTATATAGTATAATCAAGTTAATCGGCGGAAGAGGTTATGTCAACAGCAGCAGTCAGTAAATGCTTTTGCATTTTGAAGGTGTGAACATTTATGATTATTTACTAGAACAAACAGTTAGTTTTGATATGTCTAAAAATAAATACCCTTGCGGAGATGGGTTTCATAATAGGGCTTTTAAAAATGTATTGTATAATTTTGTGATGCTAGATTTGTGTTTTGTAAAGTAATATGCCAAGCATTTTCCAGTCTGTATGTTATATTCTTTTATGTTATATATGTTATGTTATATTAAATTAGGCTATGTTATGTAATGGAATGTCTTGCTATGGTTATGAAATCGTATTCCATGCTAATTTATGCTTTTTTTTGAAATGCTATTCTCTGTTCTTTTGTGGACTGCTATGTTATTCTATGTTATGCACTGGGTTGTTATGTTATTTTATGTTATACTATGTAATATTACGTTATGTTTTATAATGTTATGCTATGATATGTGAATTATGTTATGTTATCGCAACTTATGATATATTATTTTACACTCTGCCACACCCACTTTATCCTTTTACATTACTACAAACATGCCTCTTAATGTTATAAACTGTTAATTAGTTCGTTTTGGTTTTTCAAACATCATCATTATTAGAAAACAAATTTAGCAAACATGCTACAGCTAAAAATAAATTTGTTCCATTTGAACAAAAACCCATCGAAAATCAATCAATATTTCAATTCATCAATCGGCAGTAACGTTACAGGTCAATGGCATTTCGAAAGAGCACATTTTATTTTGGCTGCCAAAAATGTGCTGAAAAATGTTCCCATTAATCAAAATCATGCAACGGTGTGTAAAGTAATGCTAATGCAAAAACGAAAACGATTGCATTTTAAGCAGCCATTGATGGATTTCATTGCACCGAAGAATAATCGAGATACAATGCACCAAACGAAGGACGAATATTACATTTACAAAATTGTGCTAACCATTTAAATTTATTTTGCTTGATTAACATGAAATGTTATTAAAAAATATATATCTCTAATATCTCTCTGATTGGTGATCAACGCCCAGCCCATACCGTAAAAGCTACGAAGCTGATATGTTCACTAACGTTACCTTATGCAATGAAGGTGCACGTTTAGACGGGGTTTCGGGACACTCCACCCGCAAGTATGGAAGAATCGCTAAAAACGTTTGTATCAAACATTTTTGTTTACCGTCCGATGGGCCTCAAACTCAATTTCAAAATCCTTTGTTCCTCCTTGGTGGAAATGGGAGTGAAAGATTTGGTGGATGACGTTTCGCGCTCAAATTCATTTTCAAGGATCTATATTAAAAATTATTTGTGAAGTTTTTCACACTTTTCGCAAAATCTAAGTTCCTTTGGAAAAAATGCGATTCAAAGATTTTTTTGGGCGAAGATTTAAGCGATTTGGGAAATTCAACCCTCAACAGTCGTTAATTAGCGAAAACGTTGGTATGTTACTTTTTTGTTAAGCATTGGATCGGCCTCAAACCCATTTTCCTTTGAACATCCTTGCTCAAATTCATTTGAGGGGTGTTAATAAATAAAACAACATAGTCAAAAAAAGCCTTCATTAATTAAAATTAAAAATTGAAAAAAAAAATAAAAGCATTAAATTAAGACATTTTAATTTAATGAAATAAAATCATTAAAATCTCATATTTAAATGCGCCTTGAACCTTTAAAAATTAGTTTATTGCTCGCTAACTTAGTCTATCCCAATTTTGCTTCATTAATCAGGCACTTAAACATTACTTCTTAGACATTTTATTAAAAGTCTTGACTCAGGCAAGAAAAAAAAAACTCGGCAGAAGACCTGTTTTTTTTTTTTTTGTTTTGAGTAATCATTTGGTTGACATTTCGATTCGTTGCCGCGGCACAGTTCGCAGAGTTGACAGTTTTTTACAAAACAATTTTATAATAAGCCCTGACATTTGCAGAAGTCAACCAAACGTGTTCTTTTCGCAGTTATCCAAAACGCAGCAACTGTTGATCTTGACTTTGGCCCCTTAGTCAGTGTATTTGACAGTTGCTCAATTGCACACTAACTGGTTGAAATTGCAGCTGATAGTGAAATTTCCAATGTCACATGGTAAGCCGACTAAACTTGTGATTTATGTAGCCAAGTGTCGTAAAAAACACATGCTGACGCGATTCAAGAAATCGGACAATAAACCGAAAAAATCATACACTCACCTAATATCAATAATAAAACGCGCCCACAGAAGCGGCTCTTATCAGACAATTTGATATTGACATTTTATAATTAATACTATGAGAAGAAGAAAAAACATAAACAAGAACCTATAAGCTGATAACGACTGACTAAGTACCTCCAAAAACCCACTGTTAAACATTTTCAAATTATGTGTACTCATTATGACGGTGCTGGGAACAAAGTTCACAGTACAGTGGAACCAGACAGATTCCCAATCTTATCATTAGCTGCCGAAGATCACCCGGTTCCGCAAGGTGAATCGTAAGTGCAGACAACGCGGATGCAATGCTCAGCTATTTATAAGACCTCCAGCCGTCTGTATGTGAACCGGATTCGGGGTGCTCGACAGGCCCAGCATCTGTCAATTGATAAGCAGCTCTCTCAAGCTCTGACGCAGCTGCTTCTAGATTTCGACAAATTTATTTTTTCGTAAAATTTGTTCAAGACTTTGCGATAAGCTATGCTCATGTTACTGGGCCAAAGAGCGCAGGGACAGACGTCAGAGATCAATCGACACTTGAACTATTCTTAAGATTGTCATTGAGGCAATTTGATTGCAATATTTATTTATGCATCGCTCGCAAATGTCACAGAGTTCACACGTTTCTAATTTAAAATAAAACTAATCAGTGTTTTATTTTGAAATTTATTCGTTGTCGCGATCTCATGGAACTAAACTGAATTTGACCTCGATTATTATAGCAATTATTTTATTTTTAAAGTATAAGCAAAGGTATATAAATAAAGTTTAAAATCTGTATAGAATAAAATATAATGAAATGGACTATTTTCAATTTGAAAATGTTGCAGCAATCATTCGCAAATGTAATATATATGTATATATATTCAATTATGAATAAAGGTAACAATCACATTTATTTGCCACTTACTTTAATGCAATGCGCATCTGATCGGCGATGGCAATATCGAATGACATGTCGGTCTGTGTTAGCGCACCACCACAAAATGTAGCACAATATGATTCGTTGCTGCTGGGCAATTTGCTGCACAGCCCACAAATATTAGCTATATGGACACACGCACACCGACAACCAATAGAAAAAAAACAATTCGCTAAAGTTGCCTGAAATCACAGTAAATATCAACACGACAAGGCCAAATTGTTTCAAGTGGCAAGCATATAAAAAATTGTATTCAACGCCCACGCGGCGTATGCGCAACGTGCCCTTTTCGCAGGCTTTTACTAGAAACGATTGATTTTATTCTATATATTTTTGTTCGATATTCTTTTTAATTCAATTTCGTTTAAATTCTTGTTTATTTGTTAAACACAACTCGTCGCACTTGTTGCCGCCTATTGAAGACGCGTTGCATATGCGCGGTTTAATTGAATGCGCTGCGTTTTATTTATTTTGATTAATTAAACGCCGGCTTTGGGGCCTCAGGCTTGAGTTGCGTTTTACTCAGGGGTTGCGCGTCAACTGAAGCATTTGAAGTAGGCGCCGGCTAGGTTTAGTGGTCGTCGAACGCTCGACGGTCGGCGTTCAGCGCTCGGACGTACGTACGTGCGGGCATATCAAGCATACACACACACGGAGGCGCGCACACACAAGCACAGTTTTTACATGGGGCTTCCACTCATTTAGTCTTGCCGGGGCATGGCTGGCGTATGAGTGATATTCTAGATGCGTCAGTGTGCGTGTGTATACATGTGTGTACGCTGCCTTGTTTCGCACTCAAATGCCCCTGGCATTGTCTGCTCGAGTGAGTTCGCTTGCTTGGTGTGCTGGGCGCCGTTGTTTTGTTTAAACGTTATCGTTTTTGTTGTTGCCTTTGCTTATAGTTTATAGCATGTCCACACACACATACCAACACCCACTCACACACCCACACACACACATAGACACACCCGAGTACACAAAATAGTTTCCACTGCACTTGTCATTTTTTGTTGTTTGTTGCTGTTGGCTTTGTTTGCTGTGTGTTTGACTTTCGGTTTTGAAGTTATTTTATTTGCTGTGTGCAAATTACAGTTTTTTTTTTTTATTATTTTGTCACACAGGGCGTATGTGTAACATTTTGTTGTACATTGTTTTTTTTTTTTATGCATGGGGCCTGTGTTAATCAACAGTTTGTGACAAGTTTGGAGTTCAAATTGGTTTGCTGACAAGTTTTTACGTTTAAAGTTTTCTTGATTGAAATAATATATTGATATATATTATTTTTAATACATTGATAACATTTATATTTGGAAGCAAAGTTTAGTTATGGCAAAGTTAGGTTCAACTTCATCTTAAACTCAACACAGTTGAAAAACTTTACAAAAACTTTAATATAGCTGAGCTGTATGAAAGCCGTTTGTCAGAATTCTTAACCAACTACTTATAGTATTTTCTCTATTACAAATATGGTGGTCATCTCCAAGGATTAGGCATGCAGAAATAAATAGTTGTTCCTTCAATTACGTTGAGTGTAACCTACCCAATCCGCAATTTCCTTCCTCACTTTGCACTCAATTCAAAAGTGTTGCATGTTCTGCTTTTAAATTATCTTGGTCATATGATATGACATGTCATTTGTAATGGCAATTACAGTTATTAAAACGGGTAATTCAATTCAATTAGCTGAACATTGAGCGTCCGTATATGCTTATATAATTGAGAGTGCGGTACGAAATTCATCATGGAATATCTATATAAAATTGATATGTGTTTACAAGGCAATTCATTACAAATGCGTGGCAATTACATTGACGGAAAGGCAACCTATATTTTATATACATACGAATATCAATAGTTGCTATAAATTATATACATTCAATTAACTCTACATGTGTTAAACTTTTATTTGATAAAAGGCTAAACGGCTAATATTTTTGTTGATACAAATTGGATAATATAAAACATTATTGTCCCTAAATTATAAAGTTTGCTATATTCTTTCTATATAATTCCTGTTTTTTTTTTTTCTTGATAGATAAGTGTTATCATATTGCATATGTAATCTCTGATTAATGACTTGTCAGTAAAGTTATTAGGGTTAATAGTCGCTTATCAACATGTAGCTCTAGGAATAATATTTTTATATATTATAAAAACACCAAGAATCTATGATGAAAGTTTATATAATAGAAATACAAACGATCTAAAACAGTCTTCCCTGGCCCCAACTGGCTTTTCCACTTTTATTAATTTCAAAATTATTCCAAATTATTTCAAGCTCGAACGTGTTTTTCCTATCTTATTTTATATAAGCACATCATTTCATATGTAGTTATACTTGTTTGAACAGTCAATTATTACTCGTTAATGAACAATTATTTCTATTATGCAATTTGCAGGCTTGATATAATTCATTTTCAAGGACAACCCCTATTGCGCACATAGTGCTTAGACAGTTAATACTAAACGGACTGATAGACAAATGTAAAGTTAAAACAAATATTACAATAAAAAGAGCTTGCAATTGCCTGCGATATATTGTATTTAAAATATATCATTAATTTGATTTGATCTCCTCAACAATTTAGTACTAAGTTAGAATTGACACAGCTTAGTCTGCAGTTAAACTGCCAGAAGCTGACTACAGACCACTCGAGAAAGTGTTGGCTAATCGCATGATGATAACATGTAGCTGAAAAATGACCAAAGTAAGCAAATCGCCAGTAATTTAATTATCTATCCAATCAGCTATCCTAATAGACTTTATAGTATAATTCTCTGGAATTATGCGATCCATAAAATTATGAGAAGCAGATATTGGGCTTGACTTTTACAACAGTTTTTGCATTAGCCAAAACTTAAGCACAATTTCATCAATTGCCGACATTTTCGGTACTGTATATACAATATATATTTATACAGCTTATGGCCGCTTCCCTTTACTACGACCAGCTAATAAATATAAATAATATTACGATAAAAGGATCTACTCAAGAGCGCGCCATCAAGTGATAAGCTGCGCTTGCTCTTAGCCTCGGTCCCTCTCTAATGTTAATAATAATAGACAAACTAATTTTATTAGATACACCACTTTCCACATATAATTGATATGTATATACCTTAACCAATGCTCCCCATGAAATTTTAGTAGCTTTTCAATTAATTAACTAAACCATACGATTCCACATTTCCCTGGGCCCAACTAACCACAGAGTCTGACATTAAATTCAGGTAACTTCTCATTGCAAATTCTGTGCCAAACGGCACAGCTCGCCAATTGTCAGAGTTATTGCAGTCTGCCAACTGTAAATTATGCAATAGCCGGGCTGGCAGGGTTTGGCCTATAAATAACTGGACAGATGGCGCACATGCAAGCACAGGTTAAGCATTTGCATCGTAAGATTAGTTGATGTAACCAAAGGTAGTAGTTAAGTTCGTATTTATAGGATTATGTGTAAGCAGCTACTAAATTTAATTGAATTTTCAACAAAAGACAGCAATAAATAGTTTAAAGACCATGTATATAGAATTTTGTATAGATAAGGTTCTTCCAGTTGTGGCCAGATCCTGGCAGGTTTTTTTTTATTCATATTTACTGGGGTCGCTTTTCGGCATTCTTTTTGGTAAACTCCTCCGCGGCCTTCATAAACTTTTTGTGCTCTTTGACAAACTCCTCGGCTAAATCAGAGCGCAATGGATGCTCCGGCTGGGGGTTGTGCACAATGTCAATGAGAGCCTGGAACACCTGCTCAGTGCGCGTTGTGGGCTTCCAGTTGTCGACTGTTATAATTGACAGGCACACCTGACCCTTCTCATCGACATTGGGATGATAGATTTGGGTCTTAAAGAGTATCTTCGGGGGCATAAAGGGATACTGTGCTGGGAAGCTAACTTCAATGCGAAAGGCGCCCTTATTGTAGGGCGCCTTCTCTGGGACCAACAGCCCCGTCCACAGCAGCAAGGACTCATCCGATGCTTCGATATTGCGCAGGACTTTCGACTTGGCAGCCAGAATATCGCTTAGTTCGCGACTTAAACGACGTGAGGCGGACATAGTCTGATTTTTTTTTTATATTTTTTTTTTGTTTTTTTTTTTTTACGGCAGCTGTTAAATTTCTAAATACAATTAATTTTGGGCAGTTGCTGAGTGAGTTTTACAAGCCTGTTAAGTCAATATATGCACAATATTATATATAGAAATATTTCCCTTTAATTATAATAACAATCCACCAATTGTATTATATTTTTTAAATTCATATCAACATAGATTGACTAATGTACAAATACACATACCAACAACTTTTTTTTGTCTCAAAACAACAGCTCCCTGTTATCATCGAAGAGACTCTCCCAGATCTTTACTTTGGACCACTCGGGCAACTCCTCGAATTTAAGCTCATCGCTTATATTGAGGCATTTTATACTCTCGTCGCTTTTGCGTACTGGATCCCATGTAATCATATCCAAGCCGTTGATCTCTGAGCTATAGGGATTACCACTTCGCGCAAACTGCGTCCAAATGCCCACCGTGCGCACAATGTTACGGTACTCGCGACTCTCCTTGGGCATGCGGCGCGCTAGGATACTGGTGAACTGATAGGTCAAATCATCCGCATGACTGACGCCCTTCACGCCACGCCCAAAACGCATGATCCGATAGGGGAATATTAGCTCCTCCGAGTCAAAATCGTAGCGATAGAAGTAAACGGGCGAGCCAGCGGCGTGAGCATGCCGAGAGCGCACTACGCGCAGAGCAGGAAAGATAAAGTAAACCATGGAACACAACTGCAAGCAAGAGAACAGGAGAAATAGTGTAGGATTAGCTAACATTCTTCAACTTAATAACCTATGATTAATGGGGATGCGCGTTGGGCATTACACCATCTGTCGCTCACTTAGCCCAACAGTCAGGCAATTTATCTTTCAATCTTTGGAAAACTCAGATAGTCAATATGCCAGTCAATCATCAGTCAATCAGTCAATTAGCCGGCCAGCTATTCAGTTATTTAATTAGACCCTTACTCTGGCAAGCAGTTAGTCAACCAATTAGTCAGCCAATCGGTCAGTTTAATATTCAGTCAATCAATAAATCAATCATCAATCATTTAATTAACCGTTCAATCAATCAGTCTTCAATCTTTCAGTCTATAAGTTAATTAATTGACTGATGGTCAATCAATCAATCTGTCATTCTTTCAGCAAGTTAACCACTTAATTTGTCGCCTCTCAGTCTGTTCATCGGTCATCTAATTCTCAGTCTTTTTCATGAAAATAACGATCAGGCAAGCTATCAGTCCGTCAGTCAATCAATTGGTCAGCCAATCAGCCACTCAATCAATCTTCTAATCTGTCCGTAAATTAATAAGCTAATCTAATATCAAATTAGTACAATACTCAATCTCGTCAATTTAATAATCAATCAATCGCTGCGTCAGTCAGTCAGTCAGTCATTTTTTCAGCCTCTCAATGACTCAGTCAGTTTATCTGGCACTCAAGATTTCACTTCAACAATTGTTGATTATAATCAGTTAGCCTGAAGGTCTATCAAAAAATTAGTTGTTACATCTATTAGTATTTTGGTCAATCATCCAGTCATTTCGCCAGTCAATCAGTCATCAATAAAGTTTAATTTGCAAGTTAAAGTTTGTTACTGCAACTAACATCCATGTAGTTATCTGGTGTGGCCTTCTCGCCAGTTACATGGGCACTGCGTATCTTTAGAGCCCAATTGCTAATCTTCTCGCTGTCGAGCTCTGCTAGCTCACGTGGCACGAAGGGTGTGCCTTCATCCAGTTGCTGCACCACCTGTGGCATCATTTTTAGCTCTGCAAAGACACACTGTAAGCTTGTGTTCCTTTGGGGATAGCTGAGACTGCACTAACCTGGCACCCAGAGCAGCCCTTCAAAGGAGGTGTTGCCTATCATCATGGGTATCGAGTTGCTCCAAGCGTTTTTCATCATTTCACGCGGATGCTTGGGCAGCACACACTCAGGCGTCGCATATGGCTCCAAAGCAGGTCCAAAAGGGAACATCACCTTTTTGGCATGCTCCTCCGGCGTCAGGACATGCTTCTCCACGCGTATCAGATCCCTGGCTGGTGCTGCTTGCAGAAAATGCAGCACATCCTTCTCATTGTTCTCGCCCTTGTAGCCGGCCAGCTTGGCAATGGTGAAGGCGCGATGCGTGATATCTCCATTAAAGGCCCAAGGTGCTATAGCACTCCCCGACTGCAGGATGCCGCGATGAAAGAGGCCTTGCGTCTGCTCGGTGAGCATCATGTAGTGCGTGGAGGCAGCCCCGGCGCTTTCGCCAAAGACCGTTATGCAATCTGGATCGCCGCCAAAGCTGGCGCAGTTGTTCTTAATCCATTTAAGTGCCAGCACCTGATCCTTAAGACCCGCATTGCCGGGCACATTCAGGCCAGGCGTCTTTAGGCTGAGAAAGCCTACGGGCAGAGAATCAGAATATGATTAGTTTGGAACATGAGCTCTTGCTTACAACTTACCCAGGGCACCCAAGCGATATTGTATGGTAACCAAGACGACATCCTCCTTAATAAAATAGTCCGGACCGTACCAATCGCGATTGGCCTCACCCAAGACGAAGCCACCGCCATGTATCCAGACCAGAACAGGACGTGCTTTGGCAGGACTTAGCTGTGCATGCAGCAAAATTATGTTGATTATTAAATTATGTTCGATTCTGATCAAAGATCGATTAGGATTACAATATATAATAACTTACATTATTCGTATAGACATTTAGATAGAGGCAGTCCTCGGCGCCTTCCACCTTGTCGTAGATGAAATTCACCTGCACTGCCTTCTCCTTGGGTTGCGTACAGTCCCTGACGCCCTCCCAGGGTGTGGGTCGTTGCGGTGCACGAAAGCGCAGCTCACCAACTGGTGGCTGGGCATAAGGTATGCCCTCAAAGCTAAAGTAGGGCACATCGTAGATGGACAAACGCTTAACGCCCCGCACTTTGCCATATTCGGTGTCGGCTAAAACCGATTCGTTTGTGGTTTGACGATATTGTTGGATTTTATGCTCGATGGTTCTGTAAAATGAAAATCAACATAATAATAGAAGGCTGAGCATGTATACATATACATATTAACTTGGTTAATATATTATTTGTGTCGTCTATTGCGTGCATGATGCCCTGTAAATATTGTTGAGGCAAAATGGGGCACATTTAATTTATGATAAGATTTTTCTGCTTATACCAGATTATGGACTTTAACTTTTCATAAATGCAGATCAATTTTTCTTCTATTTTTCTTCGCTGTTTAATGTTTACTTATGAATTCTTTCTTCCCATCTCACCATCAAGTTAGCTGCAGGGCAACTGCCAGTCGAGCCCGCATTCTCACATGTTTCAATTAGCATTAAATTAAAATTATTTTGTTGATGCGGCTGCTGTGGCTACTATTTCTGCTGTTTACCATATCGTCAGCTCATCAACTAGACAACAGGCTTATCTTCTGAAGCTGAATGCAGCATTGGCATGCAGCGGGGGACTCTATATACCACATCCCGTTAACTGGGCACGTCCACCAGTAATAAATGAACACCGGCTGACAAGCAGGCCAGGTCACGGTGCAGTGCACTCAACTGGCAGTGGACGGACACTGGGCGTTCGGCCTGTCCTCACTTAGAGTAGCTCTCAAGTCCGAGCACACACTTCTTGTTGAACTTTGTGTCGTCGAGTAGCTCTCAGTTATCAGCGGAACACAAAACGCATATATATAGAGATAGGGCAACAGCATCTACTTACTATAGAGTGCCAAGATTATTTATATAATGATTGCTAAAGTAATAGCACTTATCAGTCGGGCCGTGTTTTCTAAAGCCCCAAGCCCCAGCCAAAATATAATAATACTCGTAAATATATGGAAACATATATTTAAGGGTATTGTGCTTCTATATTGTAATATATATTGAGGTAATTACCAAACAGAGAGGCATTTCCTTATTAGTAAATGCGATTTCAATAGGCACTGTATGTGTTGAAATAGATAAAATCAGTTCTGAATACATATCACATGTCTATCAATGCGTAACACATTTTGTATTGAATTACCTGTCTGGTTATATTACTTAGAAATAGTTCTACCAATGTCACCATGTCTCTGATTATGCTCTACATATATTTCCATAAGAGAGTGAATAGCATTTTCTAATCTATTTTGATTGTGAGAGACAGCTTGAAAGGAATTCAACATTCGGCACATAGATCGCGTTTTAAACCTTACCCTTACATAAATCCATTTGCTCAATAATAATTATATTTGATTGCATTTAATAAACAAATAAAATTACAAACGTTTTATTTATTAAAAACGTGTTAAAAAAAAGTGGATTTAACAATGGAAGATGTAAGCTAAATTGTCGGGGAATTTAAACGTGCGAATTAACTCTCGTATATTTATACTATATAATAGAAATGTGATAATGGGATAGTTGGGTGCATGTCGGGCATGAATGTGTCTAAGGCGAGGGCGATATGCCCAATAATATCATATTCAGTGTGCATATCGGACCGTTTCCCATTGAAACTCAACGCCTTTGGCATACTTAAAAAATAATTCTATTAATAATATATAGTACACAATTGCATTTATCTGTTTTTATTAAAGTCGTATAAAAAGATTGCTGTAAGTAGTTGACTTTGGTACATATATAAAAAAATAGATACCTAAAATCAACAGACCCTAACATAAAATTTGAATATGTAAACAAAATGTTTTTATGCACATATCTTCGATTATGGCGAACTATGCTTTAATGAAAGGTCGTAAATACAAAATATGTTACTCATTAAACTGATTAAGCGATAAATAGTCGAACGTATTAAACGATTGAGGGATATAAATTAAGGGATTATGTGACATTTTTATGGTTAACATAAAAACTTTATTGTTTGTGGGTGTGCATTTTATCTGTGTGACTAAAGCGTTAACTTTTTGTGAAATATGATATCTCAAGTTTATGTTAACGGAACAAGTCATAGTTGATTTATTAAATAGGTATTAATTACTATTCGACTGAAATTTGTGGCAAAAAGTTGTATGATAAAAATACATATGTTTCATATTACAAATAAAAAAATAAAAAAAAAAATCATTGTTATTCTATGTTTATTTCATAGCACTCGAAAGTCATGCCCCGGTAGAGCTCATTAAGATGATAAGAAGTCTATCTGCATAATACGGGAGTGCAAGATATATTTTTATAGTTAAGGTTTAGAAATGAAAGTATTGGCATTTTGATCAAACAAAAATTAACAAATAGAAAGAAGTCAATTAGTAATATAGTGAGCTGTTAAGAAATTACAAATTATAAAGTAAAAACAGATTAACAAAATTAAAGCTCAAATTTATAAGATCGTGTAAATAGATTTAGACTGCTTATTAATTAAAATTATTCTTCAGTTTAAGTTTTTGTTACACTGGTCGATTAATTTATTAATCAGCTTCATGCGGGCTTCAGTTCAGTACATATATTTCTTTAAAATGCCATTTCAGCTTAATTTTTTGCTATATAGTAGATCTATTATTTATTGCACAATATATTTGCATTTGCATGAATAAACAAAGCTGGAATTTATTTTGTACCTAAATTATACTTATTTAAGTCCAAGTGAACCTGCTTAATCAGCACTTTACACATGTGTTGGTATCTGTTATGCATTTATTGGTAATCAAGGTGTTGGCATCATATTGCACAAAAATAACTTATCACATAGTTTGATTAGCTCACAGAATGAGTCAGAAAGTTAAGTCATGTGTGTTAATGAATATGAATATGTAGCTAGCCGAATAATAGAGATTGACACTTGATCTATTCAACTTTATAAACAATAATGAAATAAATGAACATGGATTAATTGTGGGTCAGAGCCGCACTCACTTCAAACGCCAGCGTATGCGCTCCACAAAGCCGATATTTTTGTTCATTTTTAGAACAGACAATCAACCATATACGAACTATATAAGTTATAGAGGAAGCAACAGTATTAAGTTATTTAAGTATTTCCACCGATCGCTTGGACTGTAACGCGCCAGCGCTAAACTGAAACTGAAATTAAAACTTTTTTATTCCATATTCAGTTCAGTTGTCGACGCTTCAGGCGAACAAAACAAGCGAAACGTGGGTGGCGGGCTGGGGAGCGAGGCAAATAAACATATATGTATATAAGTATATACCATATAGAATAAAGCAAATATCAGAATAAAAACTAAGCAAAACAAAAAGAAAACACAACACAAAAAAAAAACGCGGCACAAAAAAATATCAAAATACAACTACAAATTTGTATTTCAAGTGCGCAGACCGGCACAGATACAGATACGCAGCTGTGGGATCGTGGGCGGGCGAGTGGGGCGCCCGCTGCCTATGGCTGAGGCTACTTGTAGACGCGCCTAAGGCGACTGCATAATTAATCAACTGATTTGCCAATAGCTACACAACACGAGCTGCACCAAACCACAGATAGTTTTTTAGCAACTAGTCAACCAAATACGAATTCGAATATCTTTTAACTGTTTAGCTGATACCAGTTGACTTATTAGTGGGGAAGGTGGCTCCGCGGTCAACTCCCCGGCACACTTGATCGCGCCGACAGTGTAAACAAACAACAGAAATTATTGTTGCCGGCGCGTTGTTAACAACACGCTTTGCATTTCACAGGGCATCGCTACAAAAAGCTTAGCCGAAAGAGCTTAAAGCACAAAGCGTAGCGTACAGTGGAGGATCGAAATATTAGTTCGGCTTCAACTCATTGAGTAATAAACAGATATATTTATTACTCAATATTTCTAACTTAACACAATATTTTTCGTATTAATTTATTAGGCATATTAAGTTGTTCTTGTTTTCAATCGATTTACTCATTACCTAATGACAGCAACATTTGCAATTAAAATGTACTAATTTGCAATAATGCAATGTAATACAATGTAACAACGTAATAATGTCGTCTGTTTAACAGCTGCACTCGCTAACAGGCATTTTATATTTTACATCGAACATTTCAATAACATTGCAAGTCTATTTAACATCTTAGACCCAGTCCAATGCCTCTGAGATTATTTGCTCTTAACTGAATCGCAATGTTACTAGTTATATTAAACTAATAGCTCTAAACTTACAAAAAAAAAGTATAAAATAATAACCTTTCAAATTTATTAAAATTACCTATGAAATTTAAAGCGACCTCAAAGCAATTGTTATCCAGCATAAAGATGTTTGTCATCATCGTAGATACTATTCCATACTTTAATACCGGCCCTTTCACACTGAGGCTGAAACTCTACTTCGTGCCCAATATTCATTACATTAAACGGATTTTCTCTATCCACAGGCCGCCAGTTTTCAGTCTCGGTTTCTACACAGTTTGGATCTCCCGTGCGTGCGAATGATGTCAGAATACCCACCATTCGGTGTATGGTCGAACTCTCAGCTTCATTCAAGGGCTTCTTCCGAACGGCCTCCCTGGGAAACATGTAACCCAATTCATCGGCATGGCAAACCCCACGCCTTATGTCATTCCCGCATAGTTTGATCCGCATCAAATTGTAGTGGGGCGAATCAAAGTCAAACCGATAGAGATAGGTGGGCGCCTGAGCAAAGGCCAGTCTGGAGAGGACCACACGATGTATGCAATGCCAGAAGAGTTTATAACTGAAAAGCTGAAACAAAGAACATTTTAACTGCAGCAGAGCATTAAATCTTGGCATTGTCTTGACTTACGTCCAGCATTTGCATGATATTGTTGACATTAATGTCCCCACTTCCAAAATGGAAGTTTATCAGTTCCATAGCGCGATCATTCAGGTCTTTCATTGTATGCCTGCGGTACACATCATAGGGCAGCGCCAGCGCTGGCTCCTGTTTGAGCAGCTGCAGCATGTAACAATTGTTGATCTTGCAGTAGGGATACATGACCAGACCCTCGAAAGAGGTGCCGCCCATTAGCAATGGCACCTCCTTGGACCAAGCGTCTCGCATCATCTGCAGAAAAGGGCGCTTTAGCAAGCCTTCAACACCCGATTGGTACTCGAGCGTAGGCACAAAGGGATACAAGTGCCCAAAAATGTATTCCCGTGGACCGTATAGTTCGTGCTGCACCAGCTCCTCAGCGGGCAGCGAGCGTAGAAATTCTAAAATTGGCGACTCCAACATTATGCCCCTGTAACCCTTGCTGTTGGCCAGACGGCAAAACAAGGAGTCCGTATTCGGCACCTGAACCCAGGGACATGTCATGGCCCCAGACATTATGATGGCCCGCTGAAACAGACCACATGCCTCCGGCAAGCACATCATAAAGTGCACAGAGGCGGCACCCGCACTGGTGCCCATTAAGGTTATATTCTTTGGATCTCCATTAAAGTGCGAGATATACTTCTGGGTCCAACGTAGCGCCAGTAGCTGATCATGCAGGCCAGCATTGCCCGGTACACCCAGATCGGGGCAGTTTAGAAGTAAGAAACCCAAGGCGCTCAGCCGATAACTGAACTGCACATAGACAATGTCCTCGCGCATCAGAAAGTCTGGGCCATACTTAATCCTTGTGGCGCCGCCTGTTTTAAAGCCGCCACCATGAATATAGACTATGACCGGCAGCGGCGAATTTGCCGTATCGAACTGAATTCAAGCTGAGAATTAATTCAATAGCAATTGATTCCCATCCAAACACTCACATGCTTGGTATACACGTTCAAGTAGAGACAATCCTCAGCGCCTATCGTGCAGCCAGAAGAGTTTTCCAACTGTACGGGACGCGAACGCTCCTCCAGACAGTCCAAGACCTTGCCACACCAGGGATCCGCCGGCTGTGGCGCGCAAAAACGCAGCTTCCCAATCGGCGGATTGCCAAAAGGTATGCCCTCAAAACTATAGTATTCATGACCACATATCCCAACCTGAAACTTACCCTTCACCTTGCCCACAGGCAGGTCCACGATCTTTGTCTCGATTCTGGCTCCCTGGGAGAAGTTCGGCTTGTTAGCCACCAAATGCAGAGCTTTGAAATTGCTCGTTCTGCCAAATTTAAACATGTCATTACCGAATGTGAAATAAGCTTAGGCTAAGGCAAAGCCCACTTGTTTGCGCTGCTCGCACTGAATTGTATTCCAAAAGACTAGTTTCCATTCTCCCTAGCCAGAGGCCAAATTCCCTTAAGCGTACTTACATGCATACAAACAAATACAAATAGCTAACTAAAGATGGTGTCCCTAATGGATATACCATTTATTTTAACCCTTCTCAACTATTTGTATATCTGTTACTATTTAACTAAAAATGCATTCTGGAACTTAATCATCTGCTCACATCGGCGAATTTCATCCACCAAAGAGTAAGCTATTATGATTATCATATAGCTTATCCCACATCAACAATACTTCCTTTTCAGACTGAGTGCCGAATTTCAGCTTCTGGTCAATTAACATGGCCTGGAACGGATCCTCATTCCTCAAAGGCTTCCATAATACACTTTTCGTTTCTTCACAATTTGGATTTCCGGTGCGAGCAAATGTTGTCAGGATACCAACCATTCGCTGTGTGATAAGATTCTCATCCCCACTCATACGAGGCGTACGGTTCTTTAGTGGAAATAAATAGGCCATGTCTTCGGCATGACAAACGCCGCACGTAATATCTTTACCGGTGAAATAAGGGCGTACAATGGGCGTGGGCGAATCATAGCTGAACCGGTATAGAAACGTGGGCGCCCTGGCATGAGCAAGTCGGGAGAGCACCACGCGATGAATGCCATGCCAAAAGAGCTTATAGCTAAAGAACTGAAAAATAATGATGAATCAACCTTTGACATGGCTTCAAGACAAGCGTAAGCTCTACTCACATCTAGGAACTGGATTACACTATTTTTATCAATGGGCCTATGTCCAAAATGGAAGCGCATGAGCTCTTCTGCGGCCTTCTCACGCTCAGTCTTAGATAGTTTCGTATGTATTTCGTAGGGTAGCGCCAGCGCTGGATTTTTCTTGAGCATTTTCAGCATCTTGCCCTTGCTGTCCTTGTATTTTGGATACATGAATAGACCTTCGAACGAGGTGCCGCCTATCAGCAGTGGCACATCCACGGACCAAGCCGTGCGATACATCTCTACAACGGGGCCCTTAATCAGGGCATCTTCGCCGCCGTCATTTCCAGATGGGGCCTGAACCAGTGGAGCAAATGGATACAGATGACCAAAGAGATAGTCGCAGTCGCCGAAGTGATTAAGACTCACTACCTCCTTGGCGGGCAAGGAGCGCAAGAATTTCAGTATTTCCGTTGCCTTGATTTCACCTCTGTAGCCCTTTTCCCATGCCAGACGGCAGAAGAGGTCATCTGCATAAGGTACAATAGCCCAGGGGCAGGTCATTGTGCCGGACATCATGACAGCTCGATGGAAAAGGCCAGACGCCTGTGGCGCGCACATCATAAAGTCCACCATGGCGCCGCCCGAACTAGTGCCCATAATGGTTACATTATCTGGATCCCCGTTAAAGTACGAGATGTATTCCTGCACCCAACGCATTGCGGTCAGATGGTCGTGCAGACCGGCATTTCCGGACACGCCCAGCTCTGGGCAGTTGATCCTGAGGAAACCCAGCGCACTGAGCCGATAATTGAACATAACATATACGATATCCTCGCGCATAAGATACTGAGGTCCGAATTTCTCGGTTATGGCGCCACCCGTGCAGAAGCCACCAGGAGTAAAGTTCACGATTACCGGCAATTTCTTCTCAGACTCATCGAACTAAAAATACAAATACCCTCTAAATGCACATCACAATGGAACCTGAGAGTTACTAACATGCTTGGTATACACATTTATGTACAGACAATCCTCGCTGCCGGTGATTTGGTTTGAAGATATTCCCACTTGCGTGGGTACAGAACGATCCTTAGTGCAATCTAGAACCATATTACCCCATGGCTCTGCCGGTTGCGTTGGACTAAATCGCAACTCCCTGATCGGAGGCTTGCCATAGGGTATGCCTCTAAAGCTATAAAAGTCGTTGCCACAGTGACCCTCCTCATGGGTGCCCCTTACCTTGCCCATGGGCAGCTCTACAGTTTTTGCGGCTGCGCATTTGGAGTAGCGTAGTATTAAGGTTTTTACCAGATTATTACAGCTGTGGCCACGACTTTGTAAGCTTAATTTAAACATATTATAATTTTGATGTTTGTGTTCTGAAACTGAACATAGTTTTGATTAAAAATGAATTGGCTGCCCTCGAAAGAGTTTGACCTTCCAGGTTCAAGTTCCAATCAACGGCGCATAAAAATTTATACAAATAAAATTACCATCTCGAAGGCTGCACAAGAAAATTCCGAGTTCGAATCCCTGATTTCAACTGATACAAGTGTCACGCAGCTGTGAACCCTTAACATTGAATTGTATTCATAAGGCGAATGAATATTTACTTTTCTTTTATATACAAGCTTACCTGAGTTCAATAAACTGCAATCAAAATGTCATATCGTGTGTTGGTTTAAAAATAAAGAATTGTTTATTGGCACTGACGTATTTATTGCAGTTTTGAATAGCTTTATAAACAAATAAAAATAGAGAGGAAAATCCTTTAGAACTTATAAATTAATAAAATTTAATTACATAAATAAACCAAAACATAAAATTATCTATATTTAATGCCAATACTTTTACATGCAACTGCACGTACCTAAAACTTAACAGCACTCTGTTAAGTAGAAAGTCTACTGTTAACCACTAGAACATCTTTACCCGTAGCAGTTGGGCTTATAAAACTGTTAAGCCAATATTACAGCTAAATTTTATGCCTAGCTTTAACTACAGTAGTCTGATTTCATGGCTGGAAAGAACGCAATTAGTCAGTGATGCAAGTATGCCCCTTTGCTTAGGTAGATAAAATAATATTTAATAGTGTTAATTGTGATCTTACAACCTGAGCACACATAAAAATTCACTTATATTTTTATTTTTTTAAATCAGCAACAAGCAACAACAACAATGTCAACCAGGTTTTGCGGCCCATTAAATGTTAACAACACGAACAGCTGTCGACAAATTGTTGTAATAGCGCTCTCTGTACTGCCCGGTACAACGGGCATTATCAATAAAGTTTTCATGCTCCCATTGCCATATGTTTTTCAATAAGAGCAACAACAGCGTCGTCTATCGAGATAAGCGGTCGCTTTTGTCGTTCGTGATTAAAACATCAACTGGGAGACTCCGGTCGCTTCGAAGATTGAAATAACTACATACAGTGAACACTGGCTAAGGCATAATTTTGAATTAATATAAGAACGTCATAAATTATAACAGCAAATATTTCAGTTAATTATTAGAAGATCATATATTTTATTCTAACTCTAACCAGAATCCTCTTCTGTATATCAAATGAAAGCAGCATGTGTCAAAAATGTATCAAAATTTATACTGTCAAGCATTTTCTGGTCCATTTCTCTTCACAACTAAATTACCAGTTGCCGTTAGCGAGTTACCACTGTGTATGAAAATTGGGTGCGCGTAAGCGCATTCGTAGACAGCCCTATTCTAGTTGAACGTTCAGTTGGAGCTTGTCAATTGCTAGGGACAGAAGTGAAAGCAACGCTAGTCACAAAAATTGGTTCGCGTATAACCCACAAGGACGTAATACCCATCTGACATGAATGTGCAAATGGGTGTTGCGGATCTGCTAAAGCTGGGCACCAAGTAGGTGACATGAGTCTTTCCATTTAATCGCTGTCAATGGCATCGTAAATGCCAACAGCCAGCAAAAGTTTAGCGATAAGATAAGATCAACTTGTTTAGCAGGCCAATAATATGAACTTCGATTGCTCTACTCTAATCCAATGACAGGCTCATTGGCCACAAGATCGTGCAGTACACTCTGGCTACAAAGGTCACGACGGTGCTCGAAACCCAGTATGGTCGGGTGCGCGGCCTTCAGCGTAAGACCCTCTACGAACAGGAGCTCTACTTTGCCTTCGAAGGCATACCCTATGCCAAGCCGCCGTTGGGTGAGCTGCGTTTCCGCGCGCCACAGCCCCCAGAACCCTGGAAGGACGTCAGAGATTGCACGTATGGACGCGCAAAGCCCATGCAACAGCATTTTGTGATGCATGTAGTCGAGGGCTCCGAGGATTGCCTCTACCTAAATGTGTACGCAAAGAAACTTAAGTCGGAAAAGCCCCTGCCCGTCATGGTGTGGATCTATGGTGGCGGTTTTCAGATTGGCGAGGCGACAAGGGATGTTCACAGTCCAGATTACTTTATGCAAAAGGATGTTATTCTAGTCACACTTAACTACAGGCTGGGAGCTTTAGGTAAGTGCTTATTTAATCTTGGGCTGAGTTTGGAGAGTGTGGTAAAATCTCGGAATTCTGTGAAATTTCCTCTCACTCTCTCAACGAACACAAGTTTTATTATAGTTTTTTGTATATAAGTATATATGTGGAGCACTCAATAGCGTGTCGGCAATCTAAATTACATGCTGTGATTGAAGATATTGGCCGTACAACCAACCTGTATTGCGATAAAGAGTATTGTTATTAATTTTGTATAATTAATGTGGGCGGCTCTCTTCCATTCCCGTAAGAGTTAACAGCAGAACGGCGTACGTACACCAGCTTTTCTTTACTTATATGGTTATACAAAAGGTTGAATTGTGGCAACTACACAATATTTTGCTAACCAAAATGCTAAAGCAATGTAAAGGTTAATGCTGTTAACTTAACAGAATGCCTTACAGAATTCGTTACTGCAAAATACTGTTACAACCAAAACTTAAATGGTCAAAAAGGGAATAGTAATTGAATAATTAATATATAATATTTTGCGAATGTGATTAATAAAATAATGCATGCCCTTGTCACAGGTTTTCTAAGCCTCTCCGACCGGGACTTGGATGTACCTGGCAATGCTGGACTCAAGGATCAGGTAATGGCCCTGCGTTGGATACACAACAACATCGCTAACTTCAACGGTGATCCAAACAACATTACACTAATGGGCATAAGTGCGGGCGCTGCTTCCACCCAGATAATGATGTGCACAGAACAGACACGAGGTCTCTTCCACAAGGCAATCCTCATGTCGGGCTCATCGCTCTGTGGCTGGGCCCGTGAGCCCCAGTACAATTGGTCCCATCGGCTTGCTTGCCAGCTGGGCTATGTGGGCAGCGACAATGAGAAGGAAGTGTTTCGGTTTCTACAGCGCGCCTCGGCGAGAGAAATTACCAGCTGTACAACGCTGCGAAGCCAGGAGGAGTTACGTGATTATATACTGTTTCCATTTGGACCCGTCATAGAACCTTATGTGAGCGCCAACTGTGTGATCTTCAGGCCACCTGAGGAGATGCTGTCCCAGGCCTGGGGCAATGAACTGCCCATAATCATTGGTGGCACTTCGTTCGAGGGCCTCTTCTCCTACCAATTCGTAATGCAGGATGCGGAGCATCTACTTAGCGCTTTTGAAGCCTTAATACCCAGAGAGGTGCGTGATGTGTCCACGCCAGCGGAGCTTAAGGAACACATTAGACACCTAAAGGTGTCATCTTTCGACGATCCCACAAGAGGCCGCATGGAGTTCAAGGAGTGCTTGCAGTTGCTTTCCATGAAGCACTTTTGGCATGGTATCCATCGAACTTTACTCGCCCGGCTGGCCTATGCGCCGACCAAGCCCACCTATCTGTATCGCTTCGACTTCGACTCGCCCACCTTCAATCACTATCGCATTATGGTGTGTGGCCGCCATGAACGAGGCGTCTCCCATGCGGATGACTTCTTCTATTTATTTTACTGCATCCCAGCCTACAAACTGGACAAGTTTTCGCCGGAATACCTCACTATCGAGCGTCTGATTGGCATGTGGACGGCATTCGCGACACACAGTGATCCCAATCGCGCTCAGGTGTTGCCTGTCTCTTGGGAGGCAGTCGACTCGAACGTTACTCCAAAGTGCCTAAACATTGGACGACAACTCCAGTTTATTGAATTGCCCGAGATCAAGCAGTTGAAACTCTGGGATAGCTTCTATAAGAAACTGAAATTGTATTAGGTCAGCGTAAGGTCGTCAGGTTAATATTGTGTAATATTTGGGTCATCACATACGAGGTTTAAGAGGTTTTAGATATCGTTGGTTAAATAAATATATATATATATATAAATATATATATATATTATATATTATATATGTATATATATATGTATATATATGTATATTCAAATATATATAGTGTAGTAAATTGTACAACAAGAAAACGAAAACGAAAAACATCCAAAGGTTGACCAAAACTAAATATATATTTTAAGGTAATTATTTATTTCTGTTTTACAATCATTTTATAATTTTATAAAAAATATTCGTGAACTGCAAAATAAAAGACACTGCTTTTTATTATCAATCTACTTACGCAAATTCGTGTCACATTAATTGCCGTCACGACACGCACCCATCTCCAACTGCGTCGAGATTCGAATCCATGAGTTTTTTTATTGCTGTATGCTCCTGACAAACACCGTTAGAGCTGGGAAGTGAATTTTCACTGTAGCTACCTTATACGATAAAAACGTAGGTTAAGGCGGGGATTAGGGAACTTCCATTCGCATGTGTGGGAAAACGCGAAAAACGTTTGTAAAACAATTTTTTGTTTTGCCCGCGGCAAATGCGGGTCAACGGTTTAAAGAAAGTTTATTCATCAGCTGCAAAATTCTCACCGCAAGTCTAACATCAGCGGAACCTGTTGATTCCTAAACTTGGTCCCGTATTTGATGCACTTAAAAGATATTTTTAAATGGATGTGGAGATCAGAATGGGTATATCTTAATTTTCCACGGACATGTTCTCAATGGAAAGGTTGTACCTAAAATTTGTTGTAAAAACGTTGCACGGGCAATGCCAACCAATACCCGCTAGTATAGATATATAATTGCTTAATAAGCCATAAACCAATTATAGAACTAGTTTGCTAATATACTAGTTGTTTTACTGAATCGCAGTACGTAAACTAGTTTATAAATAATAGACGATCGTATAAATAAACGCATGTTATTATTAAATATTTCGAAAATCTTGAAAAATGTAATGCTTTGAAAAGTAGGCAAGGCGCTTCGTTTCCCACGAAAATTTCAAATATATTTTCTATTTCAAATTGAAACAAGTTAAAGGGGGGAAAAGTGCTGACAGGCAGATACACAACACTAGATGAAGGAGATACCCAATAAACATATCCTTATATGTCCTGTAAATTAGTAAGACACTCTTTCTGAATGGGGGGACAAACATGAATGTGAATGTGTGTGCTACGGAGCGTTTTAGGCTGGCCACTAAGTAGATGACACAAGTTTGCAATAAAAGGACACTCAACATAAATTTTCATTTATTTAAAGGAGCATCGCTCACAGGATTGTGCAGTTCAATCTGGCCACTGATTTCGAAACGATCCTGGATACCGAGTACGGAAGGGTGCGCGGCGTTCAGCGTAAGACTCTCTATGATGAAGAGCTCTACTTTGCCTTCGAAGGCATACCCTATGCCAAGCCGCCCTTAGGTGAGCTGCGTTTTCGGGCGCCCCAACCACCGGAGATGTGGACCCACGTCATGGACTGCACGTACCCACGTTCAAGGCCCATGCAGCGACATTTGGTTTTGCATTCGATCGAGGGCTCCGAGGATTGCCTCTACCTAAATGTGTACTCAAAAAGCCTTAAGTCGGAAAAGCCCCTGCCCGTTATGGTCTGGATCTATGGAGGCAGTTTTCAAATTGGCGAGGCCACAAGGGATGTTCACAGTCCAGATTACTTTATGCAAAAGGAAGTTATTCTAGTCACACTTAACTACAGGCTGGGAGCCTTAGGTGAGTGTAAGAAAAGAAGAAAAGGAAAGAAAGAAAATGCAACCAATTGTTTACCGTCCAAGTAATACAGATATATAGGCTTGTCCGATTTGGTTCAATCCTTAGAAGAGCTGATCAGCATATTTCCAAAGATGCTTGCCTCTTTTAAAGCGGGTAACAGCACTAATCTCTCTTATTTCAGGTTTTCTCAGCCTCTCCGATCCGGTCCTGGATGTTCCTGGCAATGCTGGACTCAAGGATCAGGTAATGGCCCTGCGCTGGATACAAGAAAACATTGCTTCCTTCAATGGTGATCCGAACAACATTACACTAATGGGCATAAGTGCGGGTGCTGCTTCCATTCAGATAATGATGAGCTCGGAACAGACACGAGGACTCTTCCACAAGGCCATCCTTATGTCAGGATCATCGCTATGCGACTGGATCGATGAGACCTGCTACACCCAACCCTATCTGCTGGCCTGTAAGCTGGGCTACAAAGGTGATGAAAATGACCAGGAAATACTTCGCTTTCTGCAAAGCATCCCAGCAAAGGACATCAGTGGCTGTAAAAAATTGATCGTGAAGGAGGAAAAACGCGATTACGTGCTGATTCCGTTTGGACCCGTCGTTGAGCCCTACGTGAGCGAAAGCTGTCTGATCTCCATGCCGCCTTGCAAGACTCTATCCCATGCCTGGGGCAATAGGCTACCCATGATCATTGGAGGCACTTCCTTCGAGGGCTTGGTGTTCTACCAGCATATAACGGGTGATATGGAGTACATGCTGGGTGCCTTTGAAGCTTTAATACCCAGAGCTGTGCGCTATTCATCTACGCTGGCGGAGATCCAGGCTCACGTAAGACGTCTGAAGGTCTCATATTTCGAGGATGCCACGTTAGATCAGATGGAATTTAAGGACTGTCTGCATCTTCTTTCTTGCAAGCACTTCTGGCATGCTATCCATCGAACTGTGCTTGCCCGGCTGGCCTATGCGCCAAACACGCCCACCTACCTCTATCGCTTTGATTTCGATTCACATAGCTTCAATTACTCTCGCATCATGGTCTGTGGACGCAATGAGCGTGGTGTTTGTCATGGCGATGATTTCTTCTATTTGTTTTACTGCATACCATCCTACAAATTGGAGAAGACCTCGTGGGAATACCGCACCATTGAGCGGATGATAGGCATGTGGACGGCATTCGCGGCACACAATGATCCCAACTGCGATATTGTAAATCCAACCATTTGGGAGACCCTTAAATCAAGCTGTAATCCAATGTGCTTAAACATTGGCACAAATCTTGAGTTTATTGAACTGCCCGGGAAGAAAGAACTGCAATTATGGGATACCTTCTATAAGAAATTGAGACTATACTAAGTTCTTAAAGATAAAAAAGGAGCATATTATCATAGTCCACAAGCCTTGTTGCTCAATTGGAGAGTATATAATTGCAATTCAAGCAAAATATAAATTTCAGAACTAGCTTAACGTATTCCACGCAATCATAAGGCAGCTCTATCAAAAAAATTGTAGTACGACAATTGCCCAGCAATTAAAAAAGCAGAGCCATGTTATAAGGGAGTCAAGCAAATGATAGTTGATATATGGACAGGAGTGCAGATTCGTAGAAAAAAATATTGTGTACAAGATTTTCTAATAACTGAGCTCTTATGGAGTCAGAAAAACCAAACTTCAGAAAACGGTGGTAACAATTTGAGAAATTCTCAAAAAATGGCGTATGAAAAAATCTCCTAATCAACTAATAAAGGTTTGAAAAAAAAAATAAATAAGCAAAATAGAACTGATTGCCTAGATTTCAAATAAATGTGTTAATAAAGTAATACCAAGAAGCATTCAATTTGAAATTCATTTGAATTTTTGTTGTTTTTTTTAAAGTAGTATTTCAAAAAAGATTCTAGTTTTTACTTGCAGATAACCTCTTTGTATCAAAATACAAATAAAAATAAGTTCAAACAGCTCACATATGCCATAATACGATTTATTTACATGTGGCTACAACTCAGAGCAAGAGTTGGAGTTAGCTTTTTAACCTGGAGCAAACTTAAAATAATTGCTCCTTTTTATATAGACTATCCCAGACGAGCAGCTTTTCGTGCTCGGGCTGATCGATGATCTCCACCTCTTCGCCTATGTTAAGCACACGCTGTGGCTGCTCTTGCTTTGCGGGCTGCCAGTTCAGATGCGCGGTTTCGGCGCAGTTGGGATTGGAGGTGGCCGCAAAGGATGCCCAAATGTCCACCAGGCGCTGTATGGTGCGATATTCACCCGATGCTTTGTCTAGCTTCCAGGACTGCGAGTTGCGGAACAAATAGCTTAGCTCATCCGCATGGGCAACGCCCTTCTTAATGTCATCGCCACAAAACTTCTTGCGATAGAAATTGAAATTTGGCGAATCAAAGTCGAAGCGATAGTAATAGGTAGGCGCCTTGGCATAGGCCAGACGGGCTTGCAAAGTTCGATGAAAGCCATGCCAGAAGATCTTATAAGAATAGTACTGAAAAAAGCAGAAATAAGTTTAACAGAATATGGAATAATAAGTGCTCTAGTCGGGAGTGTCCGACTAAGACCAGGGTTCAGAGATGCCGCATGATAACTATTACATACATTCACACAAAACTATTATTCCCTTTTCCCATTTTGAACAGGGTACAGGATACAAGAAACTGTTTCAAACTCACATCCAAAAAATTCATGATGTGCTCTTGACTGGGTGTTGCATCACCAAAGTACAATTTGATCAGCTTGTTGCTGAACTGCAGATTCTGCTGTTCCGTATTGAGCAAAAGCACTTCGTGAGGAATTATGCGCAACGGATCCTGCGGCAAGGTATCCAAGCCCTTGAGATTGGCCTTCAGAGCTGGATACATGAACAGGCCCTCGAAGGAGACACCGCCCAGCATGACGGGCAGCTCATTGCTCCACGCCTCGCGTGCCATTTCCAGCTGCTGCTTTGGCACCACGCAGTCGGGCATTATGTACGGCTCCACCGTGGGTCCAAAAGCATAGATGAGGCCACTGCGTCGATCCTCGGCGGTGAGCAGGCTGTGATTAACCAGCTGATGTGGCGCCACGCCCCGCAAATGTTCCAACACCAGCCGATCGATGTTTTCGCCCTCATAGCCATGCGCCTTAGCCAGCCGATAGGCAAAATCTGCGGGAGGTGTATTTGACCAGTAATTGTGCAGGGTACCCGACATGGGTATGGCCTTGTGGAAGAGTCCACGCGTCTGCTCTGTGCACATCATATAGTGGGTGGAGCATCCGCCGGCGCTCTCCCCAAATACCGTTATGTTGTTAACATCGCCATTGAAATAGGAAATATATTGCTTAACCCATTTGAGAGCTAGAACCTGATCCTTGAGTCCAGCATTACCAGGCACCTCTAAGCTGGGGTCTTTCAGACTGAGGAAACCTATGTAAATAAAATCATATGTAATGTTAGGTTGAAAAAAAAAAAAACAAAAGAGGCTAAAAACGAATACAGAAACTAGAGGTGCAGAGTTTCCTCATAAAGAAAAATCTACTAAAACTTAGAATGAATTTAAATTTAACATTCTTTTACACTCAATAAAAGGTATAGAATTGGTGCACTTTAAATCTAAATCTATCTTTTATACCCTTTGGAAGCTATCAGCGATAAGAGAAACTTGTTCAATAACAAAACAATCTAGATTTAGAGATTGTCATTACGATTAGATATTTAATTCTTACCCAGACAATCAACGCGATAGTTTAGCGTTACTAGAACGACATCTTTAGCCATTAAATAATCCGGCGCATACAGCTCCCGGGTGGCCTCGCCTATGGAAAATGCACCACCGTATATATAAACCATAACAGGCAGGGGTTTCGCCGTCTGTAGCTGTTATCAGTGGAACATGGGCAATTATAGCTATCCATCACAGGTTATATTTTATTTTTAGATAGTCACCTGCTTGGCGTACACATTCAGATAAAGGCAATCCTCGCTGCCCTCGATGACATGAGTTAACATGGCCTTCTGCACGGGCTTCTCGGCAAAGTGGGTGCAATCCAGTACGCCGGACCAGGGTTCTGCCGGCAGCGGCGCCTTGAAGCGCAGCTCTCCCAGCGGCGGTTGGGCAAAAGGCAAACGCTCAAAGCTAAAGTAATCATCATCGTAGAGAGTGCGACGTTTAACGCCCTTTATCTGGCCCACGGGCAGTGTAATCTCACAAGTCTCCAGACTAAAATAACGATTATAAAATTTGTTAATTATTTGTATAATAAAAAAAAAAAAAGTATTTAATTATATGTTATGACTTTAGGGCACCTCTCTGACATGATGCTAAACAATCGCTCGGTCGTCCGCTCTGCTCGCGTGCCGCTTGTCAACTGAACATCGAGTAAATCAAAAGAACGTCGCAAAGTGTCGCGAGTGTACAGAGATGGCCATAAAAGCATGTACACCAACCGTGTTGGCTTGTGAAACTGATTTATCGCGCATTTGGTGGGATTTTTTGTGTTGAATAATTAAAAAAAAAACAGCCAGCCAGAAGTCTAAATACTCTTACATGGAACTAGTGAAACTTGGCGAATAGCTTATATTATTCGATATACAGTAGTGGACAAAGGATGTGACCCGGCATTTTAAATGTTAGTTTAACAGTGAAAAGAAATATTTCATAAGTGTACCAAATGTTAGTTTAACATTTTAGTCTTATATATATAGACCAGCCGTGGTTTATATTTATATTATTGTGCTATTCACAGTAGTGGACAAAAATTATAAAGTGTTAAAAATATCATTTTTAACGGATTCATGAAATTCTGCATATGCATTAATAGGTAATTAACAGTTTAAAGTAAGACTGCACTCATTTTTTTTTTTGGAACTCGGCACAATTATTATTATTTTATTATTATTTATTATTTTTATACCCTGAACCCATTGAAAATAGGTAAAAAGGGTATAATGTATTTGTGTATGAAACAGGCAGAAGGAAGCATCTCGGACCCCATTAAGTATATATATTCTTGATCAGCATCAACAGCCGATTCGGTCTAGCCGTGTCCGTCTGTCCGTATGTATGAACGCAAGGATCTCAGAACCTATAAGAGCTAGACACTTGAAATAATAGCTGTTTCCGATAACCGATCATTTCGTTTTCAAGCAAGGGATAAGACTCGATATCGAAATCCTGTTTTTGAGCAAAATGAGTAAATAATAAGAGATAGGCTCATCAAATTTGATACGTTGCTTCTATATTATATTAAGATCTTTCATGTACTGTAGAAAATTTCATTAATATCGTTTAACAAATACAAAAGTTATGTGTTTTGGCTTCCCACGTGTTTGCGGCAGCTAGTGAAAATTTCAATCATTTCTGTATACATGTATATACTTTAAGGTCTATCAACAACATTGCTATTGAGATTGTATGGTTTTTTGTGCTGTATTTTTAATCAGTTTTTTTTTTCATTGAAGCAAACGAGCGCGATCTGAATTTTGTGTTGTAGAAGAGAGTTCAGGGTATTCCCTAGTCAGGAGCTCTCGACTAGAGCCCATTACTTGTTTTTATTATACATACTTTATCTATAAGTACATAAGCTGGTTCCTTATCGTAACTTACCAAAGCTCACAGATTCACAGTTAAATGAGTTCCATTTTAGCATTTCTGTACAATTGGTCGTAAAACTTTAACTTCCAACGCTCAGGCTGTGCAATGAACTTGAGTTCCTCATTGATATTCAGACACATTGTGGGTTCATTCTGTGAGACCGGCTGCCATTCGACCAATGACTGGATGAGTGGCGCATTCGGATTGGATCTGCGGGCGAATTCTGTGAACATGGCAATCATGCGGCAAAGGGTTATGTATTCCGCTCTCGATTTATCCAGCTTAAAGGTGCCGGGCAACTTAAAAATATAGCACAATTCATCGGCATGATGAAGGCCGCGCTTATCGGGTCCCCAATAGCGTATGCGATACAGATTGAAATCAGGTGAATCAAAGTCGAAGCGATATAGGTAATTCTCGGCCTTGCTATAGGCCAGCCGGGCGCTAATCAGACGCTGCTGATAGTGCAACAGGTTGAGCGCGAAGATCTCAGATATGCCCGAGGCATGCGATACGTTCAGATCCGAACTGTGCACGCCACAAAACTTCTTCACCAGCGTCTGTCCCAGGTGGCGACACCTGCTGGGCTCGCAGTGCCGGAGGATGGAATACGGCAGCATGAACTCCGGACGCTCCTGGCAGGCTTTTAGCACCGCTGCGTCCTTTCTCATATCGCATGTACTACTAAACAAATCCTCGTTGCTGGTGCTACCAACGATGATCGGCAGGCGATTGCTCCAAGCGCTGCGCTGCAATATCCGCGGCTCGTCCAGCAGCACAGCGCCCTGCGTGGCATAGGGCTCCACTCGTGGCATAAAAAGAGGTAATCCAGAGCTTTGCAGGCGTTCATATAGCTGTCGAAAATCTGTCTTGGCCAAAAGTTTGGGATCTGCAGCATTTATGTAGTCCCATACTTGGACATCGTTGTTGGCGCCCGCATAGCCCAAATGCTTGGCCAGCTCGTACTCCACGTTGGGCCGATTACATGTGTCCGGATGGAAACCAGCCAAAAGTATCGCCTTGTCGAAGAGTCCCTCCGCCAGCGGGCTCACCATCAGCAGGTGGACCAAACAGCTGCCCGAACTGTGCCCGAATAGCGTTATGTTGTTCGCATCGCCATTGAAGCTGCCCGCATTGGCCCTTATCCACTTGAGGGCCAGCACAATATCCTTAATGCCCGCATTGCCGGGTATGCCCAGCGACGGATCCGAAAAGCTCATGAAACCTGCGCACATTCACATAGCATTAGCTTTCGCTTAGATTTCTCTTTGGATACCCACCAAATAGACCCAATCGATAGCCAATGCTGATGTAGATCACCTGCTCGCGCATGAAATAATCAGGTGAAAAGAAGCGCCTTGTCGGATCCCCACTCTTAAACGCACCGCCATGCACATAAACCATTACAGGCAACGGCTTTTCGCTGCTGAGCTAAAATAAATATACATATTCTAATAATCTCAATCCGTGCATGTGTAATTTGATGAAAACTCACGCATTTCACGGCTATATTTAGGTACAGGCAGTCCTCGCTACCCTCAACCTGTTTTGTTAAGCTGGCCACTTGCAGGCACTTGTCCCTCGGCTCGGTACAGTCGCGTACGCCCAGCCAAGACTTCGCTTCCTGCGGAGCTCTAAAGCGCAGCTCACCCAATGGCGGCTGGGCGTAGGGTATGCCATCGAAGCTATAGTAGGGCTCATCATAGAGACTGGTGAGTAGCGCGCCACGCACCTCACCATGCGTGGTAAGCACCACAGGGGAAGTATCCGAGCTGCAAATGATTTCACTCTGTTAGTCATGGAGTTTGTCTTTTATCCGACCGCAACCTACTAGTCCGTTGCCATTTCAGGTTTGTCCCAAAATAACTGAAATTAAAAACTCTCCACTTATATAGACGCATACTATATGCTGAAATTATCTATTGTGGTTAAATTCCAAACGGCGAGCCAGTGCTGCCAATTTTTCTAGCTACATAAGGCTAATTGCAGAGTTGTTAGCCGGAAAAATTAGTTTGAACCGATTTGGTTTTTATTTGGCATCTTAAAACCAATTACTGGCAACTCTGTTTCCAATTAGTGGCTAATTCAGCTTTTTGTAGCTAATTTAAACGTTGGATTTAACTACATTTTGTTGTGGTAAAATGATCGTTGTGGTGAGAACTAATCTGTCTAGCGTTGTGTTCAGAACTTGAATGCCAATTTTGGCATTGGTGAAGCAATTGTGGTGGTGAATTTAGATAATCTTACATTTTATTATAGTAAAATAAAAGTTCAAGATAAGTTTATCTTTTGATATTTCTTAAGAGTACCAGCACTATAAGCCAAAATAATACACAAAGAATACAAAAAAGATAAGACAAATAACATTTTATACAGCTATATAACGCTCATAATTATTGCGTCAACTGCAAACCACAAAAATCTGATTAGATTAACATTCTGGCAAAATGAATTGCACTTAGTGGATTTTATAAATCAAGTTTACCCAATCCGTAATATGGTTTAATACATGAATTTAACACTAACATCTGCTTGTATTAACAGAAATTCCTGTCACATAAGCACATTAACAGCTCAATGTTAACGCCACTTTAACATTTGCAGGTCTAATAGACTAAACATACAACTTAAATAAGAAACATTTGTATGCACTGTTAATTTAATGGCTTTGTCATTTTAGAATTTCGATTATATTTAGGCAGAGTTATCTCACTCGCGCCTTATAGACGCTATCCCAAACCCGCAACTTGGTCAGCTCGGGCAATTCGATCACCCTCATGTCCTCCGAAATGTTTAGGCACTTCATATTCTTTTTACTTAATGGCTCCCAAACCGTTCCCTTGGCCAAGTTTGATTCAACACTCCCGCAATTTGGATCTGAAGTGCTAGCAAATGTGGTCAGTATGTCAATCATGCGCTCAATGGTTTGAAACTCGGCCGTGTGCTTGTCCAGCTTCCAGGAGAAATCGCCATACCAAATATACGAATGATCATCCACATGGGCAACGCCACGCAGCTTATCGCCGCAATATTTTAAACGTTGATGATTGAACGTGGATGAATCAAAATCGAAACGATATAGATAGGTGGGCTCTGTGGAGCATTGTAGGCGTGCCTTGATGGTGCGCAATATGGGATGCCAGAAGACCTTATAGCTGGCGTACTGCAAGAACGGAAAATGAATATTATATATATACATATATATGGATTTAGGATTAAAGAACAATATACGCCCACCTCACAATAGGCCGTCACGCTGTCTGGCTGCAGCTCCAGTGGCTTATCCCGGAAGTGCATATATTGTATACGCTTGCCCAGCGTACGGGCCAAGGCCTGCGGCAGCGTGCGTTTCAATTCCAGCGGCAGCAGGTGCTCCGGCTGGCTCTTGAGGCTGGTGAGCAAATAGGGCGACATATGAACCCGTCCATACATTAGCAGACCCTCAAAGGAGGTGCCACTTAACAAGAGCGGAATATTATTGCCCCATGCATTAGCGAGCAGCTCAATGGGCTGCTTGGATATTGCACAGGACTCGGTGGCATATGGCTCCACGACGGGGCCAAACTGAAAGACACTGTCATCCAAGTTTTCCGCTTTGCTGAGCAGATAAGGCTTCACAAGCTGATCGCCAGGCACGCTCTGTAGAAACTCCAAAATCTTGAGATCCGAGGCCATCTCCATCTTCTGCATGCCCAAATGTTCAGCGAGTCGCCGCGCCAAATTGGGCACCGCACACTGCGCCCAGGAGCACAACGCATTCCCAGACTGCATAATGGCTTTCTGAAAGAGGCCCTGAGCTTGCGGATTCACCATAAGATAATGCACTGATGCGGCGCCAGCGCTTTCACCAAATGCAGTTACATTCGTTGGATCCGCATTAAAACTGGATGCATTATTTATGATCCATTTTAAAGCCATCAGTTGATCCTTTAAGCCGGCATTGCCAGGCACACCCGCCGCAGGATCCTTCAGGCTGAGAAAACCCAGTGGACCCACACGATACGAAACGGTGGCCACGACCACATCGCGCATCATGAAATAGTCGGGACTGTGTAAATCTCTAGTGGGATCACCTTTTTCAAAGCCACCGCCAAAGAAGAAAACAATCAACGGCAACGGCGTCTCCGTGTGCAGCTGAAGCGAGGCACAGTTTACCAATTAATGTTTTTGTACTTTTACTAAAATTGGGATGCGTGACTCACCGACTTGGCATACACATTCAGATACAGGCAATTCTCGACGCCTTCCAGCTGCTGGGTGTACTGATTGAACTGCAGCGGTTTCTCGCCCTTCTGCCGGCAGTTCAGCGCCTGCTTCCAGGGATGTATAGGCTGTGGCGCCTTGAAGCGCAGGGCGCCCAGGGGAGGACGCGCGTAGGGGATGCGCTCGAAGCTGATGTACTCATCGCTGTATATGCTCGTACAATGTTTGCCCACAATCGGCCCACTTTTCGTTTGCACAACGGCGTCGGAAGCGCTGCAAAATGATATAATCAAATTATCGTACGATCGTAATACATACATATATTCGACAACTCACCTAGCCATTTTCAGCTGTGGTCTGAGCGGCTTTTACACGTTGGCGCGATGTTCTCCTTGGTTTTTTTGTTTTTTGGCGCTTTTTTGTTTTTATCTAGATAAAAACATTTATAGTGGCTGTTTTTGTCGCTAACGCGCAAGACACCACACAAATATAAGCTGAACAACAAGTGCAAGGCCAAAAAATAAATTATAAAATGTTTAATATCAGAGACAGCTGATTTTGTGTTAGCTGCTTTGTTTTCGGTAAGGGCTAACATTTATAAATGCTACGTTTGCTGACATCGTAACGGTTGTGGCTGCCTTCTATCAGCAATGCACGCGACGCTTTACGGCTGCCGGTGACGAAGTCGGCGCTGAATGCGACTGCGAAGGTTTATTTATTTATTTTTTCCAGGGCTGCACCAACACATTTTGCACCATTCTAATGCTATAATCAGATATAATTGTGCAAATATAATATGTTATATTCCGCCCATGATAAACTATAACTTTCAATAAGAGTACTTTGCCAATAATGTGATTGATTTTTTAATATTGAACTAAAAGCATTTACGCAGTTCAATTTTGTATGGTGCTGTAGCCCTGGCACACCAAATTGCTGATTCAAGTGCACTTGAATGTTGGGGCTACACTGAAAGATAGGCGGAATGAATGATAAGTTTGAACAACAAATAAAACACTGTTTAATCACTCGTTTATATTAATTATTATTTTATTTATTTGCTTAAGATAAACTAAAACTATTACTCGCGTGTTTTATGTGTAAATTTAAATTACTAAATGCAGTCCAAACATATTATAGTCATTTTTGGCGAAGTGTTTGTCAATGTAAATTATTTTACCTAAGATATGGTGAAGTGCAAAAATTACGTCACATGTCAATGTGCTTGCATATTACAACACCTAACATCAACGGGTTGCTGCTTTGTGTGGAATGCATTTGAACTGATATTGAAATCAATTCGAGTACACACACATATATACATATATATATGTATATATATATATATATACATACATATATATATGTATATATATATATATGTATATATATATATATATATATATATATAATTTATATTAATATAATATAAATTAATATAATATAATATATATTGTATATGTTTATATATAATTTAGTGTTTATATAATTTTGTTTACATAAACATAAATAATAAGTAAACAACCAAAAATCATACTTATTTGTCTTAACCCCTTACAATCACAATTAAACTTACATACAAACTTTCACGTGTCATTCCGGCATAATTTATAAAACAAAACAAAGCACACTTGACACTATATATACACTAACAGCTGTTAAGCCTGACGAGCACTGCTAATGTAAAGATAAGTCGCCATGTTAATGTCGTGTTACGCCAATCTATTTTTATTACGCCGATGGCACAAATTTCTATTGAGAGCGAGAGAGCGAGAGAGAGAGAGAGAGAGATAAGTTTTGACCAGCCGTTCAGGGTATGCATGCACGCACATATATATATATATATATATATATGTTTATTCATGGCATACATAAATATAGACATGTACATCGCCGGGACTGTTTAAATTTGCCGGTAACGTAACAAAATTCTGTTAATTGCATTGCGACGGTCAACAGGATTGGAGCAAGCAGAGCAAACAAACAGTTGTTTTCGAAATAAAAAAAAAAACTGTTTGAACAAACCTAATTGATATATTACATACATATGTACTTATGTGCATGCATACATAGATACGCACGTATATATACATACATAATAGGTCAATAAACATGGAGGTGCACGTTGGTATTCCAAAATTGCTACAAATGGGCGCCAAGTGAGTAAAGCTACGGGGTATACAGGGTATCAGCGTAGCGCTGAACAATGGGGACAATTGGTCTCGTTTTTTTAAGTCACCGTGACTGGCGCATTCTCTGACATTGATCTTGAACATTGGACCTGGACCACAGCGGCGCGGGAATTTTCGAATGGCATCGCGCCGACTCTGTTATCTTTATATATGTATATCTGTATCTGTTATCTACATCACATCTCACCCTCTGCCACCCACAGACTTGTCGGTCACAAGGTGCAGCAATACCGTTTGGCCACCAGTCGCACAGTCATCGTGACAACCAAATTTGGTCGAGTGCGCGGCCTACAGCGCAAGACCATCTACGATGAGGAGCTGTATTATGCCTTTGAGGGCATACCCTATGCCAAGCCGCCGTTGGGTGAGCTGCGCTTCCGTGCACCGCAATCGCCGGAGCCGTGGGAGGGTGTACGCAATTGCACCACATACGGCGAGAAGCCGCTGCAGCGTAACATGGTGCTAGGCTTGATTGAGGGCTCCGAGGATTGCCTATATCTGAATGTATATGTTAAGCAGATGCAGTCGGAGAAGCCGCTGCCCGTCATGGTATGGATCTATGGCGGTGGTTTCCAGAAAGGTGAAGCCTCAAGAGATATCTACAGTCCGGATTACTTTATGAAGCAGCCAGTGGTCTTTGTTACCATCAGCTATAGACTGGGCGCGCTGGGTAAGTGACAAGCAGATTGCATGCGCAGTCTAACCAGTTTCTGTTTACCTTGCAGGTTTCCTAAGTCTCAAGGATCCCAAGCTAAATGTGCCAGGCAACGCGGGGCTGAAGGATCAGGTCCTGGCGCTACGCTGGATCAGTCAGAACATTGCCCACTTCAATGGAGATCCCAATAACATAACGCTTATGGGCGAGAGCGCGGGCGCAGCATCCACGCACATTATGATGACCACAGAGCAGTCGCGCGGACTGTTCCACAAGGCCATACTACAGTCGGGCTGTGCGCTGTCCGCCTGGGCGGATACGCCGGATCGCAACTGGGCCTATCGCCTCGCCCGGCACATGGGCTACAAAGGCAGCGAGACGGAAGCGGATGTTCTGCGCTACCTGAGCAAGGCATCTGCACGGCAAATTGCCTCGAGTGATCAGGAGATTGTGACGCAAGATGAGCTGCGCAGTTTTTATCTGTTTGCCTTCGGGCCCGTTGTGGAACCCTATGAGAGTGCACACTGTGTGGTGCCCAAGCCGCACAAGGAGATGCTGGCCAGTGCGTGGGGCAATAGCATACCGCTCATCGTTGGCGGCAATTCGTTCGAGGGCCTCTTCTCGTATCAGCTCGTTCGTAACGATCCCTGGGTGATGACCCATTTTGATAATATAATACCACGCGAGGTGAGCGAGTCGAGCACACCAGAGCAACTGGAGCAGCTGGTCCGCCGTCTCAAGCAGGTCTACTTTGGGGATGAGCAGCGCGAGCGCATGGAGCTCTTCGAGGCGCTTTATATATTCTCACATCGGCAAATCTGGCATGATCTGCATCGCATGGTCATGGCCCGCCTAAACTATGCGTCTGCCACGCCCACCTACTTATATCGCTTCGACTTCGACTCGCCACACTTCAATCAATTCCGCTGGCTTGTCTGTGGCGAACGCGTGCGCGGTGTCTCCCATGGTGATGAATTGTCTTACCTCTTTTACAATGTGCTGGCCACAAAACTGAACAAATCCTCCCAAGAGTATCGCACCATAAAGCGCATGGTCGGCATGTGGACGGCCTTTGCGGCCAGTAGTGATCCCAACTGCAGGGCCACAGCATCGGCCAAGTGGACACCAGTGCAGCAGACACCAGACGGTGCTCACAATTGCTACAACATTAGCGACGAAATGGAGATGATGGCACTGCCCGAGGCCACAACGCTGGCCGTCTGGGATACATTTTACGACAAAGAAGCTCTCTACTAAAAGCAGAACCCAAGCTTGATTCCAATGCTAGATATATATATATATATAAATATATATATACATATATGTAAGAAAGAACTTCCAAACTATATGATATAGTACTTCAATGTATGTATGTGCATATCTTTTATAAGTACCAGTGTGATGAGAAAAATTTATATTAAAGCATAACCAAATTCCTTGTACAAGTAACCGGTATTTGAATCCTAAAGGAACAGAGTACATTCAAAATAAATCGTGCTTAAATTAGGTTTAATTGTTAGAAATATCTTGTAGTTAGGTGTTAAACCTAATCAAATTTTGAATGTTCATATTAGTTCCCTTCACTGTAAATAATTTCATTGCATATATTATATCAGCTACATAATCGTAACTATACATAAGCCCCTTATTCGATTGATAGAGATCAGAAGGAACTTTTCGATTCCAGCGCTAAAAAAAAAACAAACAAAGTTGTACAAATTTAATTTAGATCTCAATTTCACCAATTTCAATCATAAAAAAAATATTAAACCAATTTTGAAAAAGCGTGTTCAATACTTTTATAGACAAAATAACTATAGGACATTTTATTTTAATATTTACATTTTTAAGATGACATCAAAAAGCAAATTTAAAAATCTCGATTAAAACAATTTTTTTTATAAATCTAAATTTATGCAATTTTTAAATTTAAACTTATGCATGTAAAAAAATCTTCATGTACATACATATGTATAAATTCTACAGACTTTTTTCATAATAATAAAAATAAAACTTAAGTTAAATTGGCATCAGCAAATATTAATTCGAAAATAACCAATTCAAATTTCTAATTATTTTCCTATTTCACCAAACATATCAGCTTGATTTTACAATTTTAAGATTTGTCTAACGTGTGTCGCACACGTTACGACATTCCAGGTCCATCGATTAACTGTTTCATGTATGAGCTACATTGGACCTGTTTGACAATTCGATAGAGCGGAATACAACTCTGAAATCGATGTCAATTCTGACATCCGGCAACCCAGCAAAATTCCTTTTCCGTTTGAAAGCCGGCGAGAGCAAACCAACTTGAACAATTGAGCAATAGGAGAAATGTAATAAGCATGTTTATTCTCAAAATTAAGTCAGTGGAGTGCAAGCATTTGATTGAGTTATAGTTAAATAACTTTTCAAGCGTAAATGAGAATACGCTAATTTTGTGACGGGTAAGTATCTTAGTGAAATTGCAAAAATGAAACTCAATGTAAATAAAATTGAGCTCTTGCATTTATTTATTTACTTCAATTGCCCTTGTTGAGCTTCTTGTGTGTAAAACAAATGTAAATATTTTGGAAAGCTTCGCAATTGCCTGATGTCTCACGTTTTCTAAGAAATGCGCGCAGACGCCAAAAAACAAGTGTCGTTGTGTGTGTATAGTAATATGGCTGCAAAATTGTGTGTGTGCGTGCGTGTATGTACTTATGCATATATACAATAGCTTGGCTTTATAAACATACACAAACATTTTTATGGAAACTTGACAGACGGAAAAACTATGATATGCAGTTTAAGTTGATAATTATTTAAATTTTAACAATAATTTAAATATATCAAATAACATTTCTGACAGTTCTTATATATAACATTTTGCGCATTGAAAAAGTTTGAATTATTTTTTGCGAGCGCTTTGTTATTCAACTATTTTCATTAACGCAGCACTGCCAACACTGCACACTGACACTGCATGTCGAGTGTGTGCACATTTAATTGCGCTTGGCATCTAGCTGCATCTCGCTTTAACTTGTACAAGCCAGCGGCAGCATTACCAGCGTGCACAACAATGTTACATGTATGTACGTGCTGGCAACGCTGTGTTGCGGTGGCTTTCAATTTTCAGTTCGTAACTTTTTGCATTTGTCAATTATGGCGCCTTTTTGTTAACTTTTTGACTTTTACCTCGCTTTACAATTTCACAACAATTTCCAATCAATGTAAAAAAAAGGAAAAAATGCCACAAACCAATAAAACTTTCCACAGTGCCAAAAATGTTAAAAAAAATCACATAAAAATGTTAACAATGTTGATGAAATTGCCAAACTTTCTGCTGCAAAATGAAAGCGAAATGGAAATTATGAAAATTTCGGAAAATTGTAAGCCAGTAACAAGTGAGAATTTGATGAGCTATCAAAATATAACGTTTATATATATATATATATATATATATATCGTAGTAAAAATGTCTATTATGTGCTTAATTCTTAAGCGGCGGCTGTTGTTAATTAAAAATTGTCATAAATCCCCTGAAGTTTAACCCCATTTACACTCGAGTGGGCTTCTGAGAAATGGCAAGAAGCATTTTCCTTTAGCCTTATTTTTTATATTTTCCTTGGGCCCAAGCCCCATGCCCAAGGATTTTAAGTATTGCTCAAGTACTTAATTACACTTGCGCGCACTTTAATTTTCAGCTGCAAAGTAGGATGGTCTCGGGTGTGGAGAAGGCGTAGGCATGGGTGCTGCACAAAGAAATGTAAATTAGGCCGGCAAGTCAATGTGAGCCGAAACCTTGTAAATTATAGGCTTAAGCTGCTGTCGGGACGCACAACTTCCCATTGGGGTTACATGCTGCTCAGCTGTGGAAGCCTTTGGGTCAGATGGCTCGCCAGCTACCCAAAAGGCTTATTAAATTATGTACACATAACGACGGCTGGCTCTGTCTTTTTGTGCTGAACGTCAAGTAAGCAATCTAATCTCACTATAAGCTCAACTCCACTCAAATTTGACTGACTGACTGCAAGCGCTCGTAAGTAAATTGAATGTCAAAGGGTTAAGTTTTCAATGTCTAAAATATGCAGCAGTCATAACTGCTTTGCCATAAAATCAAAGCACATAAAGTCCAGCTTCCATTTCAAGAATGGGCATCAAAAAAAAACTGCAGAGCATAAAAATAATTTGGGTACAATTTCAATTTTTTTCTTTTCTTTTATTGCAGTCAAACGAATTTTCTCTATGAATTTTAGCTTCAGCTCTTTTTTCATATTATTTGCTCGAAACTATTTTGATTCTGAAATTGCAGACAAATTTCTATGCGCTCGCATTATGCGGCTTTTGTTGTGCGTGGGGCCAAGTTTTAGGGTATAACAAACACAAGAATTGAACATTGATTTGTGCGCTCCACTGTAGTGGGTCCATGGTGGGAGAGAGGAGGGGGAGGGCTTGCAGAATTTACTAAAGAATTTGAAACAGCTTCAATTTTGCCAGAGCTTTGTGTTCTGCATGGAGGGGATAGGGGAAATGTATGAAGTTTTTCGTGCAGGGAAAACGTTCGAAAATGTTGTTCAATTATTTCATTAGTTTAAGTGCAATTTTCAGTTTCTGGTTTCTTGAAGGCAAACAAATTTTGCAAACCAAACGATTAATAAATAATATGCAGCAATTATAATATTTTATAAATAAATTTCAGGCTAAGCCAAATAGATTTCTAAGAAAGAAAAAATTATATATATATGTATATATATAGAACAAATTTCAATTTCCATTATCAGTTGGGACACATCATGGTAAGAAGCTGGCTTCAAGTATCTGTAACTTTTTTTTTTCGTTTGCCTACCAAATTGAATCCCGTTCATAATTTAACAGTGAATGAAACCCTGAAACAATACCCAAAAGCCTATTAGCCCAGACCCAAAAGGGCAAACTTTATTAAGAACATTTTTTTTGTTAATATAAATTAGATCTTTTATTTTGGGTCCTACCTGCTGTTAAATAGGTGGACGCGGGGCCAAGGGTCTGATGCTTTTGTAATATTTTACAGAAAAGTAATTTAGTTAAGAAATAAATAAGTAATTAAACAGCTGAGAAAGGTAAAAAAAAAACCAAAACGGTTGCCACATCAAACTTGTCCAAAACGAAGGCGAACCGAAGCCAAAAGCAACCAAGAATAGGAAAAGTGAAACTTGACCAGCATTTTTAATAAATTAAAATGGTAGGGTGGGCTGGGGAAGGTAGAGAAGAAAAAAAAAATACATAAATGATGTTGGAAAAGGGAATCAACGTAGCCGTCAATTGGCAAATAATGGACTCTTATTAACTAAAGCGCTTTTTGATCTGCCAGGCAAATTACACGCCACAACGCGGCGCTTTACGACACTGAAAATATGGGTGGGGCTGGTGGTGGCTTGCTGTTATGGGTGCAGTGCATGCCATATAACACTTGCCCGCTTTTGTGGGACGTGGTCTATAGTTGGGCATCGCCTTGTGCAGAGTATCGTCTGTGGCATTTGTAATTCACTTTGATTAAATATGCAGAGCGTTGGGCATTTGGATGGGCTGGAGCTGGGATTGGGTGCGGGATTGAAAGGGAGCAGCGCATTAAAATGCCGCAACAATGTGGCAGCAGAGATACAATGACTGCAAGTGACTGTCGTCCTGCAGTATCCTTCTGGCACAAGTCAAATAGTCAAGCCAGAAGCCGAAGTTGGACAAGAAAGCGCAAAACAAGTTTTCTAAATTTCGGCAACTGCAGGGTGTCCTCTGACAGGATATAAAACAATCAGCGCAAGCTAGCGGAAACGGAAGTGTTGCCGTCGCTTACCCCACCACCCAGCGCCCCCACTGCGCTGCGGGTGCTCAGGGCAATGAGAATTGTTGCGGCAGCTATATATATGTGAGCTTCTTGCGGCTGTTGTGAAATGTACTCCGATACTGTCTTGTGGCCGACATGCAGCCTGTCCTGCTGAAAGACACCACAGCAACGCACCACCTTCCACCGCCGCAACCGACTGAGAACTGCTTTATGCGCTGCGTCTGTTTGACTATTGTCTGGTTTTCAGCTGCAAGGTTTCGGGTTTATTAATATGGCAAATTGAAATTTCACGCTTTGTTGCGAAGTCTTTGGTCCGCCTGTCCATCTGTCCGTCTGTCTGACTGACGGGCTTCTTTTTGTGTGGTTAAGCCAAGGATTGCACCACCCGCACTATCGCAGCGCTTCGCCAGGCATTTGGCCTTGCAATTTGATTTATATTCAATGGTATTTGATTAATTGGCCCTTAAACTGTTTCAGTTATTCGTGGCATGCGGATTGACAAGAAAAAAACGATAAACGCGACTCGATTAGTCAAGCTGACAGGATATTCTGTTTTAGAAATGTTATATGGAATATGTAACCTAAGGAATTTAGCGTTTTTAGTAAGAGTTGCATTTCGATTGGGGTATTATAATTGGAAGTAAGTAAGGTTATCTTCGGCACGCCAAAGATTTAATATCCAAAACAAATATATAATATCTTGTATTGAAAATCGTAAATGCTGAGCTCGATGAAAATATCTTGGAAAACAGAAACAGTTTCTATAATGGGTCCGATGTTGTAAAAGCAGCATAGTTTAAAAAGTAAACGCTGCCTTCGGTCCAGATAGCATGATGAACAAAAAAGTTTTCCATAATAGAACCTACCTTTCGATAGATCTTTCCCATCGCAGCAATATGATATAGTAGTGCGATCTAAGTAGGATTTTGCATATGTATATAGGATTTGCATATGTTTATACATTTGATTAATGTATCTTTAAAAATAAAAAAAAGTTGTACTCAATTCTAGACCGATCCGATTATTCCTATGGCACCCATATGATCATATTTTGCATAAATACGAGGAGCTAAGAGGAGTTGAGATATTTTGAAAATCAAAACTTGTTTCCTGCCATAACCTTTTAAACCCATCGTTCCTATGGTAGCTATAAGGTATAGTTGTCTGATCCGCACGGTTCCGACATATCTACTGCCTGCAACGAAAAGACGGACCCAGGCAAAGTTTTAAGACGATAGATTCAAAGCTGAGGAAATGGTTCACATAGAAACAGACAGTCGGACATGACTATATAAACTCGGGGCCAGAATTGTTTCCTTCTACGCATTATAAGTTTCACGAGAAAGTTACAATACCCTCTAGAAGAGGGTATTTTGTAACCTTTGGCACAAAATATTGCTTGCAGCATATCATGTAAATAGGGAGCATATACGAAGGCGATAAAATTAATAAACACACTATTAATATGTTGACTTTTCCACAAAGTTGCATTAATATTTTTAATTTGTCAAAAATGTATGTTTATTTTCTTCAAAGCAGGAGGTATTGGTATTTTGTTATTTCTCATTCTATATATTGCACCTCCAATAACTATGTATAATAATATTTAATTGTGCGAAGTTGTCCTTGCTTATATGTATTTGTAAATATTTTTCCATTTCCCTAACGAGATCGTATGTCATGCCCATGCCCTTGAGAATCAATTTTATGCATTGCTTTATTCAGCAATTTTAAAATTTATTTGATAAAAAAGTTTCGCATAGTTTTTACTTAGTTTCCAGTGTAATTGAATTTGTCTTTAATGCATCACTTATTCGCACATTTAACATCAAATTTTCTCAGTCAGTGTAGTTGTGTAAGAAGGGATGGGTAGGGGGTGGGGGGGTGGGCGCTCTGATGGGCGTGCTAAAATGTCAAACACAAAATTGACTGACAAACTTTTACTTTCTGTGGACTTCTGTGAACTGCTATTTTTGGTTGGCTTCACCTACACCCTGCAACCGTTTCCCCCTCCACTTGTCGCTCTGCAGGACTAGCTGCTCGTTGTTCATGATGACAGCTGTCGGGCAGCAACGTGTTGTTGTTGTTGTTGTTGTTGTTGTAGTTTGGGTGGGGGCGAGGAGGTCAGTGCGAAGTGCAAATGCAAGGATGAAGAAAAACACAAACAGTTTTGCGGTCTTGCATTTGAACGTCGTCCTTGTGGTCCTTTGCCGTCTCGTTGGTGGTTATAAATGAAGCAGACAAGCAACACGCTGCTCGACAGTTGAGCAGGGTGCTGTGTTGGGAAAAGGCGCAGAGTGCCGAGTCAGTCAGGCGTCCTTGCTTGTGCCGCCTGATGCTGCTGCTGTTGCGGATGGTCATTCGTCGTTCGCGCTGATTCGGCATCCTTTTGCTAGGCATGTTCAGCACAATGATAAACTGTCCTGCTTGCCGCAACCGCCCAGCTGCCTCACCCCCGGGCCCCGCGCATGCCTGGCACTTGTGCATTTGAACTGTGAGTTCATTTTACATTTTATGCTGTCATTAGATGTGTCTGCTCAAGTTACTTATATTGATGAGTCTCCGGCGGATTTTAGCTCGCGCTGCGACGCTTCATTAACATCACCCTGAACGCCAGCCCGCCCCTCTATATGCGCCAACATATTTAATGACAGTCTCGGTTATTTAAAATTTTATATTGCCTCCATTGCCAGGCGAGAGTCACGTTTCACTTTTCATTCTAAGTGGCATAGTCCCTTTTTGTTGTTTGTCCTTTATTTTATTTTTTTCTTCATTACTTTGGTAAATCGCAGCTGAGAAATGCGTCAAGTTAGCTCTGAGGTTCATCCTTGTAATTCCAACTGTCAAGAGATTGGCCACGGCCCTTTGACAGATGCTGCATCACGAAGCCAATCAGTAAAAACTCATTTTGCTCTACGATGTCGCTTTCCTCAGGATGTCGATAAAAAGAGCGTTGAGCGGAGCGTTTTAATATAGTTGCATAGCGTTGCGCTTTCGGATCATCCTTCCGTTATTACATTCCCCAGGAAAATAAACTTGAACCACACTTGAAGAGGCCCTTATTTGCAGTTAAAACCAGTAGAGATGGCATTTTATTAATAATATTTATAAATTGCATTCCAATTGTTTCTAAAAAAAGTTCTAATTGCAAATAAGCTCCATTTGAATCATTCATATCTTTAGTTGTTACATTTCTGTTAGTAGCCATTTTATATTTCCATATATCATGTTGATTTTTTCATCCAAAACTGTCGCATTGTTCGCTGCTGCCTGTCAAATTCGTTTCACTTTCCAACCCTTTACATTGCTTCATTTAGAATTGTTTGCTTCCACATTGTCTTTAATATTGTTACACTCGCATTTTATACTGTTTCATACCAAATTTTGTCAATAGAAATTGTCTTATAATTCATAGTTTTATGAATGTTTCCTCGCATATTTTATTCAGTTCATATTTAAATGTTCAATGCTCTATTCTAAATTGTCGCGTATTTATTGTTCTATTAAATATATTTCAATTTCAAGTTTCAACATTTTAAATATATCGATTTCAAACTATATCTACTTGTTCTTCCTTTGTCTTTCTGAACTACGTGCAGCTCACAGCTAACTAGGTAATTTCCATAATCCACCTCGGTCGCATTCTTTTCAGTCCCAATTAGACGAACCCAGGGCCGAACCACCCGACAACAACGCTAATTAGTAACAACAGCAGTACGGACTTAGGTGTTTGACACCTGCTCATTAGATGATAACTGTATGGGCTGGGGTTGCCACACTTTCGTACAAGTTCTCGTAGCGCTCTCTGGATGTCCTCAATACCTACTCCATGTACTGTTATCATAAATACTGCGTGCCCGGCCAGACATGCTGTTGGTGTTTTTGTTGTTGCACCATGGCCGGACAGAGACGACGTTCTGGTAATTTAAATTTATTGGCATTAAATTTGCGCTGCGCCTCAGTTTTCGTTGCATGCAACGCACAAGTAGATGGGTTGGGTTGGTGTCGAGGAGTGGATAGGGTATTGCTGAGGCCAGCTTGGGAATCGGGAGTGTTGCTGCTGCTGCGACTGTTGTTGGCTGTGGCTGTTGCAAGAATTTATTGCGTTCGGCTGCATTGACACTGGCAGCTTGGATATATGGCATCCATTTCCCTTTTTCTTTATCCTCTGCTCTTTTGAGCCTGGAACTCGACATATTCCTCGTTTCCAGCAAATGGATTATGCAAATGTACCGAACTGTGTGAGACGATTTGCAATTGTTGGACTGATAAACAAGAATTTGAAATCATTTAATTTATTTTAATTAATCAAGTACGCTTTTCTCTATTAAGATAAAAAATATTAAAAATAATTTGAGACCGTACATTTTTTCCGAAATTGGTTGGGGATCGTAAATACTGAAATGCCATGTAAATTCATATGGTAGATTTATTTGTAAAGAAATGATTGAGTTTTTGAACAATTCAAAGGTTTCATTACACAATGATGATCATTATGTCTTAAATTCAAATTTTTATTACTCAATCAAGTTGACAAAGATTTCGTATAAAAATCATTTTAGTATAGAAACGTTTATTCGTAATTTTGTTACCCTAAGCCTAATTATCGATGAAGATTAAAAAAATGATATGTATATTTTTGTTTTTAGATAAATTACATAAATGGTTAACTTCATATATTTTACTTCAGAAAATAATAAAATAAAAAACATGCTTACATTAATCGATTTTAAAACAATGTGAAGATGCAAAATATGTACACAAAAACAATAAAAGTAATATATGGCTTTACAAAATTATAGGCATATTCGATTATAATTATCATTTAAAATGATGGAAATGGAATGTGAATGAATGTGAATCAAATATGTGTTATACAGCTTTTAAAAATCTGTATAGAACCTGACTGACTGACGCGAAAACAATAAAATCATTTTCAAAGCTTTTTGAGAACATTTCATTTATATGTGTCATAGAAAAGGCCTAAAAGGCCTCTAAATAATAAACTTTACGCTTTTCGCATTACGTACGATATCTGTTTAATTCAATTGAAGGTTAACCTAACGGCTGCTCGATCGGAAAAGTTTAAATCTGAGAAAGTTCAAGAAGAAAACCTAAGTATTTGAAGTACCTTGGATATATTGTTTGGTGTACATATTATTCTTGCTAATGATCCTCTGGGATCGCATGGAGATGACATCAGCCAGAATAGTATGTAACACGATGAGTATTAGGCGGTTATATAGGTTAAGGCAGTTCAATCTTATTAGTTCTTGGTTAAAATTGTTCTGTCCGGTTGCTCCTCTGTGTATTGGCCAAGATGAGATCAGTCAGAATAATTGATACCCTGGACAAAAAGCAGCATAGTTGTGGCTATAATATGCGAGGTACATAATATTCTCACCTTTATGTCTTTGTTTAAAGCCAGCCAAAAATTAGCGATAATAATATGTAAGCCGGTCCTAAGCTGCACTGTATTCATACTTATTGTTAAGTGAACACGAAAGATTGGTTTGTGAATTGTTCTTGCTGCCGTCTCATCTTACATTTGGTTCTTGCTCGATGAGATCAGTCAGAACAATTCGTAACTCAGTCCAAAATCGACCTTGTTTCTATTTAACTGGTTTACTGCGATTTACCTGGAAGATATACACATATTATTTGCAATAGAAGCCAACAAACGTGTGAGCTAAAAAATTCTGTAGGAAATTTTATTTAATTTGTTATGCAACTTTTCTTAACAATATTTTTTTTTTAGTATTTATTCAGGTAACTTCAAGGACTTGAACTGGATTTGTACATTAATCATCGATTTTTATGATTTGGCCGCACAGTTTAATCCTGGCGTATATGATATACAAGATAAATTGCAATTGCAGGATTTGCGTTTTAGTGTTTGGGTAAAGCCTTAGCTAACCTCATTAACAACGAATTATGCAACAAATACATTTTTTCCCGTGTACGGGTCTATTTATTTATGTAATTAAAGTAGCATGCGTGCGGGTGATGATATTTTTTGTATTGTTGTTGCCTTTGGCAACTACGCACATTTTGTTTGGGAAGAAAAAAGAAATGAGGGCGCTTTGTTTGTCGTTTTAGTTCTGTGCCGTTAGTCATGCATGCGGGGGTTGGGAGGTTTCTGCCTAAAAATGGTCAAGAGGGAGAAATTTTAATTGAAATTATAATAGCCTCATTATGCAAATGCCGCCTTGTTGCTTATTTTGGCCAGGCCTAGCATAAAACAGGACAAGGCACAAAATGTTCCATTTATTTGTATATTTTTCATTGGTTATTTTTTTTAAACAAATTTGTGTTTACCTACTGCGACTTAAGTGTTTGCGTGCTTAAAGGAAATTTCAATTTACAGACAAGCTTTTAGATAGATTTGTAGTTCGTGATTTTTTTTTTTGTCATTGAGACAAGGATCTGTTAATTGTTCCAAGTTAAACGTAAATTGTATTTTGCCGGGCTGTTAATTTTAATTTCTGTTGGTTTCTAAACTACCCGTACTTATTATGAATGCAATCATTTGTGCATAGCTATGCACAAATGCCCATAAATAAATTAAGCCAAACAAATTGTGTGCATCGCATCTGTGCGCACAAATCTGGGTCTAAATGGCCAACGATGCTGTGGATTTTTGTCCTTTGTCCCTGTGTATGCAATATCAAAACCCTACGGCATGTATCTGAATTACCTTGCGTATTCGTGAATCGTGTGAGTATAAACATTTATGTGCATTACCTTTAAATATGTAGAACAAACAAGCATCTAAATAATGGACACTTTTTGTATTTGTTACAGTGTGTGTGCGAAGAAATCGTAGGGTATTCGGCTGCGGCTGTCAACTTTTTGCTGACGCATAAACATTAGACAATATTGTTTACTTACAACATATTGTCTATTGATTGTGCTTCGGCACTAAGCTAATATCTCGAGCAAAAAGCGTGCCAGTGTTGTAAAGTGTTCGTAGTAGTGCTGTCTAGACTCAGCGGTGAACCACATCAATTTTCTTAATTGAGTTTCTAAATGCAGAAAGTTGATGGTGGTACACAGCTAAGTCTACAGGCAAAACAACATTTCAGATAACATAAAATACAACAATTCTATCAAATTATACTACTTGAAGTATTCAATATTTATTTATTTTTTTTTAAATAAACTATGCTTTTCTAAATCTTAGCATATTCGAATGTATTCTGTTTTTTCGAATTACTAGATGATTTTGCAAATGCAAAAGCGCAAACTGAATAACTTGAAATCTTTTAAAAACATATTCATTTATCTTTAAATTATTTCAATTGCTTGCTCTATATCGTCACATTGAGACTCTGAGTGGTAGTAAGGCATCTAGAAAATTGCCATTCACAGTATCAATGGAATGATTGCGCAATTAACATATGAAATGAAAAGTTATTAATGCAAATAGTTGGTGTTTACATTACATGATTCGTACGTTACACTGAACAGATTTCTACATTAATGATCTGTTCAATGGGATGTGTGAATTATGTGTGTAAAATATGGCAACTAGGAAAGTAAATGGAAGCTTTATACATTTTGAACCGATGTAAGTACAGAGATTTTTATTTAGTTAAAAAGCTTTAATAATTTGCAGTTTGTCTATTTTGAGGTTGTTTACGGGATCTTCGTAGAGAGATGCTTTACGAAACCACATCTATATCATTAGAATCGCATAGAGAGCTGCATAACAAAAGCATATCTGTCATGAGAATCGCCGAGGGATATGCAGAACAAAATGATAACAAAATTATATCTATATCATGAGAATCGCATAGAGAGTTCATATAAAAACCATATATATGAAAACACATAGAGAAGTGCATAAGTAGCTCATACAATCGTCACTGAAGGCGGCAACAAAAATGGCGGCATAATTTTATAAATAGAGTGCGCGATATGCACTCTATGGATTGTCGTGCCTCTGAATCCAGGCAAGCGTAGCCAATAAAGCTAAATGCCAGGCCGGCTCACCCTTGCCGGCTGGTCAAATGTGTAATGGGGCGCTGTGTAAATATGTGCATATAAATATTTTGCGTGCGCTGCATTAAAATTTATGCAAAACAAAAAACAAATTGACCCGCGACGCGTATCGTCCACTGACGGTCGTATTAATATTGTAAAAGGGCTTTAACTTGGCCAATAGACTGTTGCAGACAGTTAAACGCGTATCGCTTGCAAATTTTTATTTATAAATGTCACCAGAGTCTGGAATTTTGTTTGACATTTTTTAATCGATAAGTGCCAATTGGCGGGCAAAAAAGGCTTCATAAATGTTATGCCTCAGAGGGAATATATATATCGGATATATATATATATATATACGGCCGATTCTGTTGCAATGTCGGTCAATAAATATTAATTGGTATTTTAATGATTCATTTGAAATTTTTATTGTTAATTGAAATACGCATTAAGATAAGCGGGGCATTCCATTCCAACATTTCCATCAATGAACCTCGTGTAGAAACTGTTCAACATATTTGATATGTTTTTATATTCCACTTAATGTTATTTTTTTTTGTTTTGTGCACGACTGAAATATTTCCTTCCTTCATAAATAATGGAATATATTGAACTTAACGCTATACATATATGTATATAGATACATGTGAACAATTCTTTTTAATGCCAACTCTTAAGAGTTATATATATTTTACTTATATTTTATTCTATTTATTTTATTTATGCAAAATATGCGGTATGTATCTTTTTTTATCTACATATAATAACGATAAACATGTCTTGCAATGGCTTTCACTAGAATGTAAATATTACCCATACGCCGCGTCAGCTTAAATCGCATAATGCCCAATAAATAATTGGCATTGTTTGCCAAACAAAAAAAAAAAAAACTAACAACTACAACAACACGTGATAGAAGGTGTATAAAACGCTGAAATGATTGCATATTATAATTGATTGTTTTATATTAACACTAAGCAAACACGACAAACTATAATTAAACGGCAAAGATAAACAAAACAATGAAATGCACACGCTTCACTATTAAGCCCGTGCATTTCCCCACTTCAAATTAAATTATGTGTTCACGCTGCAACAACTTAGATAAACAAAAGCGTTTTTCGTAATAATAATCAAACGGCAAACAAATGAGAAAAAACTATATTCTAAAATCCTAGAAAAAAACTAAATAAAAAAAAAATAATTATACAAATAAGTGAACTGCATTTAAAAGTGTAAATATTTGATGTTTGCAAACACTTCGTCAATTTGTAATTTGATTTATTTTTTTATTTTTGTGCTTTTGCAGTTTTGAGCGTCGGTTGGTGTTTGCTTTCGTCCGTGCACTTGATTAAACCCAACAAACGCTTAAATTTACAAATGCCCAGTCGCCAGACGTCGAGTTCATGATATATATAGTGAATGTCTTGTGTGCGTGCGTGTTTGTCTGTGTGTGTCCTTCATATGGCAATACAATATTTATTGCATCTATAGACTGAGCTTTCCTTTTTAATATAAAGCCAGGCTTTGGATGCACTAAATGGAGTTACCTTTAAGCGAATGAATGGAAACAATGTCGATTTCCCTTTAGGCAACCAAAACAATAGCAGATGTGTGATATGGTAAGATGATTCTTTTTAATAATATATAAAAAAATAAATAGGCGCTTGTTAAAGTAATTAACATCAATTTCTTGAAATGCTTTTAGATTCGACTCACAAAACGCCAGACAGAACGTTGCAATCATATCTGAACTGAGAGCATACGTTAAATTATGTGTGGACATGTCTCAAAAGATTTAAGCAGCTAAGATTTAACAGGATTTAAAGCAGTGTCCAATCCTCGCACGACAGACAGAAGAACAAAAGCTGCTTGGGTGACATTTAGTACGAAGAGTTCGTTCTTTTTATTTTCTGTAGGTACTTGAGCCAACTTGCAGCTAACAGGCAAATAAAGCAATTTCGTGCAGTATTTGCAGGAAAAATACTCCAGGGACACGTAGCAGCGGCGACGTGTAGCACGACGAGTGGCACACAAGAAGCCGCTACATCGAGCGACTTGATGCAAATAAACCGCAGCAAAGACGAGCATAAGTGGCAGCAACAGCAGCAGCAGTTGCAGGAGGAGGCGACTCAATAGCTGCTACATAGTTGATCTTTAGTTTCGAAAGAAGGACAACAATTGGGCACATGGCCAGCCGAGTGAGGAAGAGGCGGGAAGCATTTTAGTTGCAGCTTAGCTGTGTGGCGGCTGCTGTAGGCCAAAAGGATGTATGCAAAAGGATTTGACACTTTTTGGACAGTTTGCCAGTGTGGCACAAGAAATGTAGATTTATATATATTGCCTTCGAAATGCATTTTAGTTGTAGTCCTGGTTGGGCGTCGCCGCTGTCCACTGGTAAGCAGATAAAAGCAAACAAAACTTGCTGCACTTGCCCAATTTTGCGCCAACTCAAAGAGTCCTTTTCGGACAAAATCCAGCACCCGGCCGCCTCTTTGGACCGCCCGCGCATTTCTCGTGCGAAAAAACTTTAAATTGCAAATTCAACAAAATTCAGAGCGAACCGAATTCCAGAAGAATTTACATTTATAAGAAAAATTGCTTTACAATTCTGTGTAAATAATTTGGCTGCATATGACACAGCCAACACACAAAGCAACGAAAACCAGAGCATAAATAAAAAAAAAAAAAGAGGTTCTAGTCGGGAGCTCCCGACTAGGGGATACCCTGAACCATCTTCTTCCAACATCAAATCCAGCTCGCGCTGCGTGCTCTTTTGCTTTAGTAGTAACAAAGATAAATTAATAAAAAAAAAAAAGAAGAAAATACTACTTGCCGGCGTCTCTACTCAACAGCCACACCAGACACAAAATATAGTTTCACCGGTAGGTCTCGAACTCGAGACAGACAACACAACGTGCCACCGCTTCTACTCAACAGCCAGTCTTATTGACAAAAAATTTAATTAAAATAGTAGCACAGAAAACAAAAGAATCGCAATTATAATGCTGTTGATGAATACGAAGCAGACCCGCATGAATTTATGTGTGTACATGCAGACATATTCTTTGAATTTGTGCTGGTGCCGCAAACACGTGTTTCTTAACCGGTCTTCATGAAATTTTACAGTATATCTTATTGTACCATAAAATATTTGTGTATAAAATAAAAGATACCATATATATATATATATATATGTACTATTCTAGAGTAAACATGTCAATTTTGGTGGCTCTAGTTCTTATTATGTACACAATTTGCTCAAAAAACAGGATTTCGATATCCATTTTTATCGATTGCTTAGACACGGAGTAAGTTATCGATTACCAGAAACAAACTCGATCTGCGCATAGACTAGGAGGATCTACAGCTAAAATTTCTCTAGCTCTTATAGTTTCTAAGATCCAGACAGACGGACATTGCTAGATCAAGTCGGCTGTTGATGCTGATCAAGAATATATATAGTTTATGGGGTCGGAGATGCTTACTTCTGCCTGTTACATTTACCTATTGCACAAATACAATATACCCTTTGTACCCATTTTAATGGGTTCAGGGAATAAAAATGAAGCACTTGAACCACGGCCTTAAAATAAATTTGTAAATATTTCTTGATACTTTGTAAACAAGTAGAATTTAGCAATTAACTTTACTGAACTATCGGAATGCTAGAAAAAAGAATTTTGTGCAGATAAAGTAGGGAAATAATGCAATTTGTAATAAATTACTGTAAAAGTTTCAGTAACAGATGTTACTAAAATAAATGTACACTCGATTAATATAATGATGTGAAATAGATTTAACCGAGGGCTATTCACCAAGGAGTGGATTTTCCGAAATGTGGAAAATGCAGTTAAAACGAATTTTCACAATAATTTTTGAAAATGATTTTGGATCCGATCGGAAAAAGGTGAGAATCACGTAGAAGAGCAGTATTCATAAAAACGTTTCTTGTTCATTTTCATTTCGACCCAACATGTACACGTATTTGAATACATACAAGCCAACATATATACAACATGCATATTATTAATTAGCTTTGCTTTAACACGTACCAGTTTTTTCGATGATCCTGGCAAAACTATAGCCAGTGCGTCCTTCATAATTGCATCCGCCTCCTCCTTTGCTCAAGTCACCGTCTTCTCCTATATTAAAGTAATCTTTTAAGTGTTTAAGAAACTCTTACCTTTGCTTGAGTTGACGCATTCGCCATGGTTGAAGCATAGTGCAAGCTCCGTCTCCGTCTTCCCCATTGTGCAAGCTGCTTCTCCTCCAATATCAAAGATGCTGCCTCCTTTGATGGAATATCCTCATAAAATATTAAACACAAAGTGAAGACCCATAGGCTTATCATAAGACTAACCTAAATTCATGAGAATCGCGTAGTACGGTTAGTTGAGAATACATATTTTTGTATTTGCAGCGCAGCTAGAGTTAAATTTGGTCTCGCATGTAAACACACAAAATATATGCAAACATGCATTTACATATATAAATCTTCACATAATGGATACATATATACATGCGAACGCATATACATACACACATACGAGCAACCACATATATACATGCGTACACACAAAAGTACCTTCATACAAACGAACATACATAAGTTATCGTCATACACATAGATACAGTCATACATGCAAACATACATGCATAAGCACAGACATGTCAATATGCATACAGTCATACATTTAGACGTACGTCCGCAAATATATATACATATAGCGTTATTAACGTGTCAAATGTTATGCTTACAATTTTAGATAGTACACGTACAAATTTTAACCAAATTCTTGCCAAGTCTTATACTTAGTTGAGTTGCACATGTTGTCTGATTATAAAAGCTGGTCTATTATTCTAAATATGATATACTACTTAGAGCTTGTCTTGTAAGTTCTTGTATTATTCATAATAAAAAGTTGCTTGCGCCCGTTACCGTTACTGCCATTAATTACCAAACTCATCCAAAGTAATTCTATGGGAAAATTAGTTTAAGCGCGCGTCGCTGACGTTCGAGAGGCAAGAGATTCAGATGCTGCCGCAGTCGCTGCAATTATTATGCAATTACAGGAGCTGATGATGCCGCTGCCGCGGACGGGGGCCGAGTCATTGGGTATAACTACATAAAAAACTGTGTTACCTAAGCAACCTGCTGCACAAAGTTGTGGGGCAGGTTCAGGCACAGGAAGGCAATTTAGTGGCGGCGGCAACAAAAGGAACAACAACAATGGCAACAACAACAATAACCACAAAAAACATAAAGTACAAGGATTGAAACAGCGGCAAATCGTCGGGCGACGCCTTTGTCTTCTTAACGCGTCGGTGGCGGCTGTGTAATATTTTTCTTTCATTGCCTGCCACATGCCTCATGCCCCCGCTCGTCCTGCCCACTGCATGGCAGAAGGGAAAAAGCTCATAAAACTTTTTCAATTTCACTTTAATTTTACCGCGCTGCGCTCACTGCTCCCTTTATATTTTTTTTGTATCTAGTAACAAAGCATTTGGCGCGCTCTGTGTAGGCATTTTAGTTGTATGAAAATTCACTTATGTGCATTACCTTACTTTGAATATATATACTATATTTGCTATGGATATATGGCATGCTGCAAGATTTGGATAGCCATACTTTGGCTAATGACAATCGAATTAGCCGTCTTTGCCACGCATCAAAACTTTTTCCATTAAACCTGCAAATTTCACTTAAGTGCCTTTTATGTTTTCTATTCCCAAAAGGCAAATGGGGTATATGCGGCTTGTTTAATGCCCGTTAATCAGATGCTCTTGAAGTCAGGTCAAGTTAATTATATTTAATCTCTGTCTTAGTAAAATTATTGAAATGTTAAAGCCATGCCCAACTAGAAGTACTAAGCACGACAATAGCCACCTTTCGAAAACTTTCATTTACAGCTAAAATCCAAATATTATATTATTTGACAATCCCTTCCACTGCCGTCTTTTACAGTTAACATAGCTTACTTTCGCACTCTGCTTATGCTTAGTGTATGGTATCTCTTAGTCTAAGGCTCTAACCTATTTTTATATTTTACACATAGACAATTGTTTTCATTGGCTTGCCTGCAGTTGTTCAGATAAACTAGCACGCCGCCGCATATCTGCTCACTTATCAATCATGTCCCTTTCACCAATCACTTCAGACGGTTATTGGCCTAATTAAAATGTTTGGCTCTAATTGAAGTTTCTTGTTGTCGGTTTAGTTTCATGCTTCAAGCCTATAATGCCTACGAAATACTCTTAACTTGCGCTTAATTCCCCGTTGCAGCGGGTCTCTAATCAAATGTTGCTGCGTGAGTGTGGTTGTGCATGTCGACTGGGGTTTATAAGTAGCTACAATCGTGTTTGTTAGGTGGCAACACCGTGGGTGGGTCTTAGTTAAGTTAAACATGTTGTGCAACCGGGTCCGATATCAAACGCTCCTTGCTTAAGTACGGAATTATGTAGCTTCAAAATTATCGTCCTACCCTTTGAAAATGTTCAAGAGCAGGTGGTTAATTTACAATGATACTCTTGATATTTCTGAGTGTTGAAGTTTGCCTGTTACCATGTGTTATACTGTTGTTAAATAAAGAAATGTTAAAGGTACTCATAACGGGGTTAATTCGGTATTCCAGTCGATTAATGTGAGAATCTGAAAGGGTACAAATATTAACAAGTAAGAGGTTCTAGTCGGGAGCTCCCGACTAGGGATACCCTAAACTCTCTTCTTCCAACATCAAATGCATATATATATTCTATTTTAGAAGCAACATATCAAGTTTCGTGACTCTAGCTCTTATTATTTACTAAAATTGCCCAAAAAACAGGATATCGATATCGATTTGTATCGATTGCTTGGAAACAGTAAGTTATCGATTATCGGAAACAAGCTCGATCTGCGCAGGCACTAGCAGCGCCTACATCTAAAATTTCAAGCTCTAGCTCTTATAGGTTCTGAGATCCTTACGTTCATACATACGGATGGACGGACGAACGGACGGACGGACGGACAGACAGACGGACTTGCTTGATCGACTTGTCTATTAATGCTGATCAAGAATATATATACTTTATGAGGTCGGAGATGCTTCCATCTGCCTGTTACATACATTTGGGTTTTGCACAAATAGAATATACCCTTATACCCATTTTTAATGAGTTCAGGGTAAAAAAATTTAATGGAGATAGCTTTGCAGATTCAAAGTAATCGATCAACCGATAAAAGCGAATGCAAATACTTAATTAAAAATCCAGCGATAACACACACATATATTAGCAGTTGTTTTCGTTTATACCCGTGGAACGCTTCGTGCTACTAATCTAAAAATATGTTTTAGCTGAAGAATAATGTTTCGTTTATTAAACCTTTCACCCGCATTTGCCACCCAAGAACGTAACCAATAAATTCTCACAAATATCTTTGAAAATGATTTTGAAGCCGATCTGATCGTAGGAAAAAAACTTTCATACAACTGTTTTTCGCCAATTTACCACTGTTGCGTGTGAGATTTACCAAATCTCTGAAACACATGTTCATTGAGTTGAGTTCATTGTACAGCTTTGAAAATAAGTTTGAAGCAAATTATTAATTAATTAATTAATTAATGAATTAATTTTTTGTATAGATCTTTGAAATCGTTGACATCCATTTCCACCCAGGAGGAATCGATTTTTCGAAAAGTGTAAAACACCGATCGAATAAATTTGAACAAAGATCTTTCAAAATGAGTTAGACGCCGATCAGATGGTAAACAAAAAAGTATCACTCAATCGTTTTTTTCGATTTTTCCACACTTGTGGGCGTAATTTTCTGAAACCCCGTCTTAACGGGCACTTTTATCACATAAGGCAACTACAGTGAAAATTTCAGCTTTCCAGCTCTTACGGTCTGACTATCGATTACTTTACAGTGCCGCTGCAGCTTTAAATAAATTGAGTACACAGATTGTTTTTCTTCTTTAATCAGACTAACCCCAAGTGTCAGCTAGCAGTGCTATCAATAATGCACAGCTATTTGTATTCCCGCATAGATTATATTTGAAACCCGTCCAATACGGTAACCGAATGCAAACAGTTTGCTCTGCTAACATAACACAGATGCCTCGTCTCAAGCGCTGCCAATTTGTGCAGCACCTGATTATTAAGTATTAAGTCAAGGGGGCAAGCGAGCAGCAGCTAAAGTAAAGGCAAAGTGTGGGATATAGTAGGTCGGATAGGTTGGGTGAATTTACAATGTCATCGCATCATAAACATGAATAATTGCGTTGCTTAACGGTCTTTGAAAGCTGTGGAGAACTTAGATGAGCTCTAGCTGCTGCTGCTTTTACAGATTTTCTTCGAATGCGTTGTTCGTGCGCATCGTGAAAGTGAAAGAGGGAGTTGGTTTGGAAAGTGTGTTTGTTGCGTGTGTGTGTGTGTGTGTGTGTGTGTGGGGGGGGGGGGGGGGGGGGTGGTATTATGGTGAGTACATGAAAAGTAGCTTCACAATAGATAGCACAACATGCGACACTTCTCGGGGCAGTCAAAGCCATTGACAGCCATCGAACGCAGCACCGAGATTCATCTCAATGACCCAGTCAAACAAAATTTCACAATATCTATTCGCATTTCTGAGAGCTACGCGTGGGTTTATCCGGTTCTCATTTGTAACTTGGTTTCGCTTGCAGTCCAAATTGTTGGCCCTGGCCCCAACTGTACATGTGTATCTGCGTAATGCGTTTGCCATGTCGAATAAATAGGTTCGTTTACACAAAGCAGATGCAGTTGCATCAAAATATTACTTTGAAATATTGATTAATGCGTCGGGCTGCTCAAGTAGATTACATGAAAGTCGGAGAGAAAGCTCTTCGATTCCATTTCAAATGGAATTCTGTGCAATTATCTTGTTAAAAGGCCATGCAACTAATTCAACGAGAGCCAATTCAAACCTGGTTTCGTTGAAGCTCTCACAAACACTACTAACGCATGCACACACAGTCAGACATTCACATGCATATGTTTAATTAAACTCTTTGCAATCCGCCGGACAGAACACATATGTAAGATTCACATAGAAAGTTTTGTCTGGATCTGCGTTTGGTATGAGAGGACATACATATGTAAGTACATGCATGTATCCATACCACATATGTTTATAAATTAATAGTTTTATAGTATTATTTTGATATACACACACAAAAGTAAAGAAAATATTTATATATTCAACTGCCGCGATTCCCGCTAATTAGTTCTGCTGCACAGGGCAGGGGAATAACACGATTTATGTGAAGCCCCAACTTGGTGTTAAGATATATCCAAGTTACTAAAAATCAGAGTCTTAAGCTTTGCGTTCACAACATGACATGATACGAGTTGAAAAGTTTTTCCAATTGGATTTACGAATTGTGGGTGAGTAGTGTGGCGTAATAAACGTGTATTTGTTATATGGCAAAAGTATTTTAGCAGCGTGGAGACAAAGCAGAAAGTTTCCTTTGGCCAGGCGTATTTTTTCGCAGTGCACAGAACTCAACAG